TACCGGATCAAATTGAATCGAATCAATTTTGAATCCGATATATACGACGAATCATCATCATCATCATCATCATCAATAGGATCAATTTCGAATAATAAACACACACACCAACATCATAATCATCATCATCAATAATAAACGAATGAAAAACAACAACAACAACAACAAATCAAGTATCGATTTTGCCTTTTGTTGTTGTTGTTGTAAAATCTTCTGTGTGTTTGGCTGAACTGGAAAAAAAAAAATAAAAATAAAATTGATTAAAAACACACACACACAGTGATTAAGAAAATATATATTTTTGTTTGTTTGTTTGTGTGGAAAAAACAAAAATAAAAATAAAAATTGATTAAACACACACACACACACACATATATATAGAAAGAGAAAAACATACATTTCTTTGATTGAAACAACAACAACAACAACAAACACATATATGTGTGTGTGTGTGTGGAGAAATAAATATAAAAATATCCAATCAATCAATAATGATCATCATATTGGTCTGTTTTTATGTTGATGATGATTATTATTATTTTTAGCTGATGATTTTGTTGTTGTTGTTGTTTTGTTTGTTTGTTTGATTTCCATCATCGATGATGTTTTGTATTTTCCGGAATGTTGATCATCATCGATAATCAATAATCAATAAAGAAGATATTGTTTTCAACAATTGTAAACAAAAACTTTTTATTTTGATTCATGTTCAACACACACACACACACAGATTGAAATTCAATCAAATACTCGAAATACTAGCTCAAAGAGAGAGAGAGAGATATTGGACACTATTTAGACAATCATCAATATCGATCGATATTGAAATAATTTTGAAAATCTAATGAAATGAAGAATTTTTTGAAAAGAAAAAAATCAAACAAAACAAAAAAAATTCAAACACAAAATGAATTGTTTGGGTAGAAATATTTTTTTTTTTTTTTTTTGATTCGAATGATTTGGAATTTGCAAGGGCGAATAATCAGCTGACGAAAACGAAGCAGAAAATTTTTTTTATTTTTTTTCACTTTGTTTTGTCCAACAACAACAACAACAACAAGATCGATGGATTCGTTTTTTTTTTGTAACCAAAAAAGAAAACAATGGCCCATACAAACACGCACACAGAATATTCAATGAGAAAATTCCATGAATTTTTGTTATTTTTAATTCGTTTTTTTTGTTATTCTTTGCTTACGTCGTCATCATTGTTTGTTTGTTTGTTGTTGATGTATTATACACACACACACATCACATCACAAAAACATCATTTCCTTTCATGCCAGAATCTAGAAAAAAAAGTTTTTCAATTTTTTTTCAATTCAACCAAACACAACCACCAAGAAATATTAATCGATTTTTTTTTTTCATCGCACATTTGCTTTTGTGTTTCATATTTCACAATGAATCATTTTACTTTTGGATTTTTTTTCAAAATATTCTGGAAATTTCCGACCTAAATTCAGGAACGTTTTCTTTTTTTTTCTATAGCTACAAAAACATCGTCATTATTGGGTAAATGACGCCGTTTTTTCTATACTTAAATAATGGCCCTCACTATTTAAGTATAGAAAAAACGGAAGCACGACACTATCGATATAATCGATATTCTCTCTCTCTCTCCCGGTTCATGAACATTCGAATTTTCAATGTGTTTTTGCAATGTGAACATTTTTATTTTCTATTCGATTCATCGATTCCTTTTTTTTTTTCTTTTGTGCTTCAACATCGATTCTTGTAAAAAAAAATTCTTAAATCATCCTCCACCATTCACCCATACCAACAGTGTTTTGTTTTTTATGCCATATGACGCCAAAAAAAAGAAAGAAAAATTGTTAGCATGCCGTAACCGTAGAAAAAAAAATGATAACGCGAAAAAGAAAATCGAATTCCAATTCCAATGTTTTCATTGTAAGTTTAAGAACGCGAGACTAAAGATATTGAACATACTCCCCCCAGTGCCAACACCAAAAAAAACAACAACAACCTGGCCAGCAGGAGCAATAGTGTTGATCGATTTGTCCTATGCCCCCGGATGGATGTAGATTTTTTCCATTTTTTTGTTGTTGTTGTTGTGAACCATTTTTCTTCATTGAAAAAAAATGTTCATGTTCCTTTTTTTGGTTTGGTTTGGTTGATGTTCATCAATGTGTATTGTGTGTGTAGTTGGTTTTTTTTTTTGTTTCGCATTTCGGTTCGGTTCGGTTTTTTTTTTTGGTAGATTCGAATCGAATCGGGTGTTTGTGTGTGTGTGTGTGTGTGGGGTGTATATATCAAGAGGTCGGTCAATTGTGTGGTGGTGGTGGTGGGGATATGGTCGAAAAATGCAAGGACCCCAAGTGGTGGGTTTAAGAAGGAGGAATATTTTTTCTCTCTCTCTGCTATACTACTATAGGGGGGTTGTTTTTTTCTTCTGGCCATGCCATGATGATGTCCATGTTCATGGATGGCCCCTGTCGTTCCTTCGCACATTTTCGTGAATAGAACGAAAAAAAAGTCGCGTCAAATTGTCCATGTGTGTGTGTGTGTGTGGATAGTTAGTTTTTGCTTTTGCTTGTTCGCTCTAAAATGCTGTGTTTTTTGTGTGTGTGTGTGTGTGTACTACGGCAGCAGCCTATGTTGTTTTGGCCCCTTTTGTTGTTCCATGCAATGGTGTGGTAATGCCAGAAATCTTGTTTCAATTTTATTATTCCAATTCCACACACACACAAAGGGGCCATATTGCATTCATTTTTTCTGGTAAATTTTGTTTCTCTTGGTGTTTGTGTGTGTGTGTGTGTTTTAATCACCTACAATCATTCACAATGATCATTATAATGATCACGTTTATTTGTAACGTGATCATCACCATTGTTGACTATTGAATCAATTTAGTGAATGATACACGTGATTTTCATAGTATTTTTTAGTGCTAAAGTCACTCTATTAGGTGGAGTTTGCACATGAAAAAATGACGCCCATTTTTCTGTGTGTGTGTGTGTGTGTAAGTAAAACACAAAACAAAAACAAAACACAACCACAAAAAAAAACCAGAAATGAAAACGAGAGAAAAAATGCTTGCCATATATATACACACAACTGTGAAAATAGTTATTGTGTGTGTGTGTGTGTGTGGATTGGGAATAGGATTTTTTTTTCTTTTTCTTTTCTTCTTGCAAAATGTTTGATGATGAGGATATATGCATAGAGCTGATGATGATGATGATGATGATGATGATCACAATCAACATTGACATCAACATCAACGAATCATCATCATCATCAAGGCGCCACTACTATAGCCAAAGAATCAAGTTGAGTCGTTTGAATATAAGCAAGTTCTTATTTTTTGTTGTTGTTGTTTATATACACTAAATATGACCGACTAATGTGGAATTAGAATTCGAATGTTTATATCTTCTGTGTCTGTCTGTCTGTGAGTTAGAAGAAGAAGAAGAAAAAGAAGAAAATTCAAAGGCCAAAAGAGTATAATTTGAAAAATTCTTTCGTTTTGTTCTGTTGTTTGAGATCATTGGTGCTTGTTTTCTTCTTTTTTTCTGGTGCATTTGAATTTATCATCATCATCATCATTCATTAATCATCATCGTCGTCTTTTTTTACATTGAAAATAATTTTTTTTTTTCTTGTTTGTCGAAATTCAATTGATGATGGAGAATTTGAAATGTAAAAAAAGGATTCTTATTTACGAAACTACAAACAACAACAACGACGACGATCGATACAGAGAATTAAAAAATTAAATCGAAACAAAATTCTTATTAAAACAGCGCAAAATCTAAAACATAAAATCATTCGGAAAAAAAAGTTGGTTATCGAATACCTAAGAAATAACACCCGAAAACAATATCATCATCATCATCATCATCAACGAGTATCGTTTTTAGCCGCTAGAGCTACATCACATATCATACTGCCACCGCCTCAAACCATCATCATCATCATCATTATTATCGTTTATAAAAACCACCACCACTACTACTACAACAATCATAATTATTTTACCATTGTTGGCGGGTAGTAGTAGTAGTAGTCGTCGTAGTGGTATATAACTCTGTTACAAAACCATCAGGATTTTGTATTTTTGATATGTGAAAAAGAAAGAGAGTGCCAAAAAAAAGAGAAAGAGAAAAAAAAAAAAAAAATTTCTGGTTCGTCGGCTTGGTTTGGTGTTTTCAATCGTGTATCGGTTGGTTGGACCTCGTTTTTTTTTTCTGTTGTTGGATGATTGTGTGTCTGTGTCTGTGTGTTCAATGTTTTCGGTAGTCTCATCGTTCGGTTGATTGTCGATTGTTGGTTCGTTCGTTCGTTCGTTTTGTGTGTATGTTTTAATGTGATTATCTCGTAAAAATTTATATTTTTCAAAATCATTTGATCATCATCATCATCATCTGTAATTTGTGTTTGTGTTGTTGTTGTTGCTGTTGTTATTGGTCAGTTTATGAAATGAACATCGTCAATTTCAAGTGAAAATTATCATTGCTTTTGTTTCTATTTTCCAATCAAAAAAATCATCACCAGTTTACTGTGTCTTTTTCAAGAAAAAAAATTTGTGGTAAAAAAAAATTCCACCATTTTTGTTCATTTGATTGATAATCATCATCAACAACAACAACAGCAGCAGCAGCAACAAATTTGTCATCAATCAAGCAATATTTTAGTCCAATAAATCGATCATTATCATCACACACACACACACTATTCGATGAATTCAATCGTTTGAATCTCTTCAAAAGTTCTGGTCTCATTATCATCATCATCATTTTTTGTATCGTTCGTGTCTTGTTTGGAGTTATTTTTTATTTGTATCTCTCTACTGTCTATCGACTAGATAGAGGAAAAAAATATAAATTTCCATCACCATAAAATCATCATAATTTTTTTTTAGTGAATCGTACGAACCCAATCAATTAATCAATCAATCAATCAATGCTGATTTGATTTGTTGGATTCGATATTATAATCATTTTCATCAATGAATGATCATTATTTTTTTAAAAAAGATGTGTGTTTGTGTGTGACCATTCATTCATTCATTCAATCAAATCTAATCGTTGAATGAAAAAAATCAAATCTTTCGATCGATATAAGGGAAATTCCATTCGAATATCGAATCCAAATTTATCATCTCATAATCGATTAGGATTATCTTGTCCATTTTGTTTCTGGTTCTCTTTCTCCTGATTTTAGTTGATTTGATTCAAAGCCAAAAAAAAACAAACTTGAAGCACCGCATCAACACACTATACCCACACAAGATTTCCATGTGTTTGAATCAAGTTTTGTTTTTCTCATCTTAATTTTTTTTTCGGTACATCGCCACCGTTTATAATTTCCGTTGATACACTAATTTCAATAATAACCATCAAAAGTGGACCTACATACTACAAAAATAACGCCTCTACCACCACCACCACAGAAACGACCATTTCTTCCTCCACCATCTTCTTTTACAAATAATAATTCCTTTTCTTCATTATCGAATCCATCACAATCAATACCAATACAAACGAATAATAATAATAATCATTCGGCAAAAATGTATCCTGCCAGGCATCCGGTAAGTTTTGTTGTTCACACCACCACTACTACTACTAGATTTAGAATCGAATAATTACAATTGATATACTTGATCCAAATGTGCACACGTGTTCCAAGTGTGTATCATCAACATTTCTCTCTCCCCTGATCCTATGAATGCCAATAACAGACTGATGATGATTCTGATTATGGAATCATCGTATTCATTCTCAAACAAAAAAAAACTACATACTTTGTAACAAATCTTGGTGTGTGTTTATGTCAGTTGATTATAATCAAACACACACACACGCACACGACTAAAAAATAAATGAAGATCAAATCAGATCATTTCATAGTCATTATCAATTGAAAATTGAATTGATTATTGACGACAAGCCAGAATAAAGTTGATACACGTGTTTCCTTTATGAATGAATTTGGTCCATGCCTTTGTGCGTGTGTGATTGCCATTTCTAAATGTTCTGGTCTTTCTTTTTTGTTTGTCGTGCGGATTTCTTTTTTTTTCTATTGAATTAGATTCAGTGTGTGCGTGTGTATATGAGTTGGTAAGTCACGTGTTTCACGATATATCCTTCTCTTTTTCGTATTCACATAGGATTCATGAATTTGGTCGGTGTGTGTGTTTGGGTTCCATTATCGGCCCATTTCCAGCATGTGTGCTTTGCGTGTGTCTGATGGTTATATTCTTGCCACCCTCGTTTACCCCAAGAGAGAGATTCTCTACGGATGAAAAAAGAATATTTCTAAAGTTTCAAAAGTTTGCGTGTATCCTTATTAGTTACATGTTGCCTTTTAATGACACACACACTCGTGTCATTGTCACCAGTCACACATGGAGGCCTAATTTCATCCCCTGGAACTTAATAAATCCAAAAAGGACTGACGCATTAGATATATTCTTATTTTGATTGGATGCCTCACAATCTGATTGGCTAAACATCAAAAAAAAGAGAAAAAATTTTTCTGGATAGTTCAAGAATATTATCATCTGCAAAATTGAGATTAATCGACAATCATGATGATGATGTGGATGATAATGATGATGACATTCATGAAGCAAACATATAAGTGATTGAGTGTTTGTATGTCACACACACACATACATACACCAAACACGTGTGAGGAATTGAAAAAATGAAATTCATCAAATGAGAAAAAAAATCGGATTTACAAATGGCGCGCGTACTCATTACATGTGTGTACGCACGATTCTCTGTTTGTTATTTGCACGTGTTTCACGTGATACCACCATCACCATCACGAAAACGCGTATGTCCGTGACTGGCCAGTAGTCGGATATATTAAATTTTTCTTTCAATGATCATGGATATAATTCATAATGATGTTCATCATTAATATTTGATTTATTATTTGTAACCAAAAAGAAAAATGTATGTATTGATTTATCGTTTTCGATAATGATTTAATTGATGGCCGAATAATAATTGGCTGTTTCATGTACTTTGAATGTATGCCAGAATTTGATTGACACATTTGTCGTCGTAGAATTTCTTTCTTAGTTGTCACATGGTTTGGGTTTTGGCTTTTATTTAGGATATATATAGCCATTAAGGTCCCTAAAATAAAGACGTCTCTCTCTTTCTCTACATGTATGCAAAAAGAGCATTGGGCAATTTTACATTTTCAACATTCTTCAAAGGCTTAAAACATGTATAAACGTTTTTTTTGTTTTGTTTTCTTGTGTATTTTGAATTCAATGGCTGAAATATAATCCTTTTTTTTCTTGTTTCAAGGTTTTTTTTCAATGTTATGGTCATATTATTAGTCTTTATGTAAATTGACAAATGGTTGAAAATGTAATAATCATCATCATCACGATTTATATCAATCGATTCACATGGGTATTGATGATTTTGGATCAAAATTGCTTGGCTTGAAGATTCATAAACTTTGATCAAACAACACTGTGTATGTGTGTGAGTGGACATATAAGCTATTTATTATTTTCGGTCAAGTTTTTTTTGTGTGTAGTAAATAATCGATTGTTGTTGTTGATGGTACTATTATGGAAAAATTTTCGTGATTGATGATGATATGTGTGTGTGTGTGTGTATGTGTGTAAGTTTGTGAAGTGTATAAGTGAGTGTTACATTTGCTGTGTAAATAGACAATTTTTTTTTCTTTTTGAATCAAACAAAAAAAGCCGTAAGGCCTGAATAATAAATCCTTGGCGACAGTTTTTTTTTTTCAAATTCAATAGATCTAATACACACACACACACACACACTTAATCCATCCACAACTACTGGTGGTACGAATTTTTTTTTCTCGAATTGAACTTGGTATCAGATTATTATTATTATGATGATTATTCAGGTTCCAAATTGCTATTTAAATTGCAACTTATAGTTTTATATACTTTTTTATTATTAAGTTGAAATCAGGAAAAAGTGGTGGTGGTGGTGGTAGAGGGCGAAAATCTCTTAAATCCTGTTATATGTTTGTGTGTAATAGCAAAAAAAAAATAATACAGATTTGGATGGATGATAGAACAAAAGAGGAAGAAATCTATAATAATAAAATGTTCTGGTTCAATTTCATAGCAAAGCTTGTCAACCAGTCAGCCCTTGTGTGTGTGTGTGTGGATAGAGATGATACAAATGAGTGTGCAAGGGCTCGTTTTTTTCAAGATGATGATGATGATGAAAAAGTTGACAACTATAGTATATATCCACATGATGAAGATTGGATTTTTTTCTCTCTTTCTCTCTGATCCACACACAAAGCTTAAGTTTTTTTTCTGCCATTTTTTTCCATTTATTTCTTGATCACACACACACACACTCATGATTCAGAAAAAAAATGAAAGACTTGGAAAATTAAAGAGGATCAATCGATCCATTGGATTCATTTTTTTTCTATTAGTGTTTCGGGTAAAAGCACAAACAGCAGCAGCAGCAGCAGCACTACCCGATCAAAATGAGCTTATTACTTATTTTTGTTAGTTGTTGTTGTTGTTGTTAGTTAGTTTGGTTGGTTGGTTGGTTGATTGAAACTTTTTTTTTTTGGACCAAAAAAAATACCGACTCTGGATTTTTTCTTTTTGGAACAATGTGTGTACTTTATTGCTCTATTATATATCCATGAGCGGCGGCAGGTGTCGTGAATTACATTTGAACAGTAATGATTGTTGTTTGTTGCTGCTGCTGCTGCCTAGATTTTGAGATTTTCACATTTTTTTTCTCTTTCTCTGTCTATTAAATTTCATTGTGGCTGCTGCTTTTGCTGCTGTTATTGTTGTTGTTCATGGTGATGATGATGATGATGATGATGATCCTATTGTGAATTAATTTTCATGTTACAATTAGAATTTGTTGTTGTTGTTGTTGTTGTTGTCGTTATTTGAAATGTTGAATGAATAGAAATGATGATGATGATGATAACAAACAACAACAACAACAACAACGACAACTATCCGACTAACCGACATGACAAGTTTTTTTTTCGATCGATATAAATGTATGTGTTGGACAATACGGTTTTTTTTCAGTGCTAGATTTTTATTCAATGAAAGTCTAATTCTCTCTTTTTTTTTTTTTTTTTTTTTGGTTTTGCATTCATCGATCGTTTGACGATTGTCATTTCATTTCGTTTCGTTTTTTTTCTTTTTGCTGCTATTTGCTGTTTGTTGATTATTGGCTATTCAACCATGAATGTGGTCATGGGAAAACACACACACACACACACGTATCCAATCCAATGAGTAAGAAATGTGATCCATAAACTATTGACGATATTTATATTTGGTCGGTGCAAATACTTTTATATACGGTATATGGTCGGTCGGGTCCTGTGTTGTGTTTGTATCGATTCAATTTACATTTTTTATTGCCAAGTGATAGAGAACTATTTGGCTGGTTATATGGGCTTTGAATTGTTCGAGTTGTTGTTGTTGTTGTTGTTCTTCCTTTTGGTGGATAAACAGAAACACACGCACACACTCAAGGCCCATCATCATCATCATCATCATGATAATGGGCCCTATTTTGCACTTTGACATTAGTTTCTGTACTCACTTGATATATAACTATACCATTTTTATGATTATTATTGTTATCGAATGTAACATGACATGAACCGAATGAGGGATATTGGTTGATTGATTTATTATTTTGGTCCCATGTGGATCCACCATGTGAATATAACAACTGTATTGTAATGACTTTTTTTTATAATAATCATAATAATAACCAGACAATGTATTTATGTATTCCGATTTTTTTTCTCTCTTTCTGATCGATTTTTTTTCTAATGATTATGATTATGATGATGATTATAAATACATAAAACGGAAAGAAAAACGACAACAAACTCCGATGATGATGATGATGATCCGCGCCCAATAAATACTACACGTTCTTGTTTGCAATGATTTCAAAAATTTCGATTTGTTGTTAACTGATCGATTTTGTTTTCATCATCATTTTCTTCTTTCTCTTTGTTCATGTACAAGTGTATTTGTTTGTTCCAAATGGAACATAATCTCATTATTATCCTTGATCTTTGATACAATCTCTCTAGTATTGTGAATTAGTGAATTAAATAACTTGCATTTACTATTGTCATATCTTCTATAGATAATAATAAACGGAAAGAGAAAAGCGAAAATCGCTGAAGTGGTAGAAATTGATCGATAATTATGGTAGAAATCGACTTTAGTGTAAAAAAATAAAATCTGCTGTGGTCGATCATCATCATCATCGATTTGGTGCGTGTCAATGATTTTAAATAGAAAAAAAAATAGAATCAAATCTACAATACAATTGATACGATATATCAATCGTCGTTTTTAGTGTTTTTTATTATTTGGTAGGGATCCTTGTTCATTTTTGTTGTTGTTGTTGGTGGTGGTGGTGGTGGCTCATATTATTATTATGATGATGGTGATTATAATCACACCATCGACCATATTAGAATGAAGCGGTGGACTATCATCATCATCAATAAATGTTGTATATACACAGCATCTATCTCTGGTCTATCCTCTCTTGGTTGGTCCCTAATGGACTTGTCGTCATCGTCATCGTCGTTGTTCTCATTGTCGTTCGACCGTTTCGTTTTTTTTCTTTTCGTCTTTTTTTTTGAAGGGTATATATAATAGCTACTTTGGTCGCTGTTGTTGTTGTAGGGTATATAATGATGACCAATTCAATTGGATTCGATTTAAAAAAATAACGAAAATCAGAGTGAAACAAATTCCAGTATTCAGAATTGTTAAACTTGACTCTGTTTTATTCTCTTTTGCACACAGAATAATCATCATCATTATTATCATCAATGATGATGATCATCATCGTATAATTTTCTCCTTTCTACTCCTCCTCCTCTTTTTTTTTTCGAATCTAGGATTATATAATGGTATAATTATAGCCTTGGATTTGATGTGATTAGATCTTTGTGTGTGTGTGTGTGCGTTTGTCTTAAACTGATGATGATATGATGCTCGTGTTTTGATGCTCTTTGCTTCGATCGATTGATTCGATGATCACCATCATCATCATCATTTGTTATTATAATTATTGTGAACATTTGATCCTTTGACATCTTTGTTTTTTGTTTCCTCATTTAAATCGCGATTGTATTTGTGTTGAATTTGAGTTTTTTTTTTTGTTTTGAAAATTTTTTTCAATTTTTTTTATAGCCAAAATTAACTAAAAAATGTTCAAGGCAACATGTTTTATTGTGATATATATGGCCAGTTCAAACGATCGATGGCCATTTTACACAACAATGGCAACCATACACACACACACACGAATCGATCATCGATTATCGATTATGTGAGATCTGTTTCCTGCAACAACAACAAAAAAAAATCATGTTGATCATCGAGATGAAAATGAAAAAAAAAACATTGCAGAAAAAAAAATTTTGATCGATCAATCGATTGTACATGTTTTTTTTTGAGAATTTTAGATTCGTGAATAAAAAAAAACAGTGATATTCAATTTCAATTAACCAATATTCATTCAATACACAAATCATCATCATCATCATTAATTTGATTATGATGATGATGATGGCAATGATAATGATCATCATTGTGTTGTAGAAATCCATTTTTTTTCATTTCATTGATTTTCATTCATTCATCCATCCATTATTATTATTATTGTAATAATTGAATAATGATGATCGATAATGTATGTATTTTGTGAATGGTGGATATTTTTTTCTTCTTCTCTCAATAATGAAAACAAAATTTTTTTTGGCCATTTCTTTTTACAATTCCTATAGGATCGATTTTCATCAACATTGCTATTGTGTGTGTGTGTGTGTGTGTGTGTGCTAATAATAACAATGAATGAATGAGAGAGAAAAAAACGTGGTCTCATCATTTTCAATTGTTGATGATGATAATCATCTTGTAGAGGAAAACAGAAAAATTTGGTGCGTGTTTGTAGTCATTTTGAATTTGATGATGTTAATGATTCTAGTGAAATGAAGAATGAAGAGTAAAAAAAAATGTTGATTCAAGAGAATATTATTATTATAGCCACACACGCATTCGTGTTTATATCCATCTCTATGGTCGATCAATCGATCGATCACTAGTGTGGGGTAACGATTGTTGTTGTTGTTGTTGTTGTTGGTGATGAAACCTTTGCTTGCCAACAAACAAACAACAACAACAACGAAAAAATTGCGTGAACTTAATTACTATTTTGATCAGAATTGCCGTGTTTGTGTGTGCGTTTTCTTAAAAAAAAAAAATTTGCCTATTTGTTGTTGCATGCAGGCTGCTACTTATTATGTTTTATATAGAAAAAAAAATTTGATTATCAGTGAACAAAAAATATCCAATTGATTTGATCATTACATGATCGGCACGACATGATGATGATGATTTACCAAAAAAAAACCAGAAAAAAATGAATTGTTCATTCTCAGAAATATTCATTCAGTGTGTGTGTGTGTGTGTGTGTGTCTGACAGCTTTTTGTCACGACAATCACAATGTTTTTTTATTATTATTATTGTTGTTGTTAATGTTGTCGATGCTTCTGCTCTATCAATCAATCGATCGATTGAAAATTTATATCTATCTGACCATTTTTTTTTTGTTCATTCATTTGCATCTTCTATATATTAGTTTTATTTTGTTCGTCTTGACCAAAAAAAACCAGAATGTTTAGAATCAAACATTGTGTAATATTGGCAAAAAAAAAGTTTTTTCAACGATTCTAAATGATTATATTGATGATGACGATGATGAGCTCTATTATTGCCCCATCATCATTGAATTGAATCAATCGATCGATCGATCAAAATGGTTTTTTTTTTGTTGTTGTTGTGGTGGTGGTTTTTTTCTTTGGTTTTTTTTGCACTAATGACAAATGGTGAATTGATCGGTCTTTTTTTTGTCTACTCATTGTTGATTGAATCGATTCAAATCGTCATCAAGATGATGATGATTATCATCGATTCAGATAATGATAATTTGAATCTAATTATTGATTGCATTTTGTTTGTGTTGTGTTTTTTTGGGGAAATTTTTTCTTTTTATTTTTACATTTCTAAATTTCAAAATTATTAACCTGTGCTTTTTTTCCCATTTTTATCATTATTTTTCACCACCAGGGACCACCGCCACAACCTGGCCAACAATTTAAATTCACCATAAATGAATCATGCGATCGTATTAAGGAGGAATTTAGTTTTCTACAAACACAATATCATGGGTATGTTGAAAAAATTTTACATTTTTCTTCATTTCATTTCATTCATTGTTTAACAATATTAATCGAGCAAATTATTTAATTTGATGAAACAAAAATGAAACATTTGCGTTGATTATAATCATCATCAACACCTTTTATTATTATTATTACAATAAATTTTAGAGATAATGAGGCGCAATGAGTTTTATTTTCATCGTCATTGTTAATTGTTAATTGCTAATTATTTAATTATAGAAATATGAAAAGAAATTGATTTGAATTCATTCAGGTGAAAAGAAAAATATTTTTATTATCTAAATCTTTTCACATAATATCAGGTAATTTGATGATGTATTATCACGATGATGATGATGATGATGATGATAATCGCCATATAATCATATAATACATAACGGAGATTGAATATTTTGCATGCTTATAGTGTATGGGATAATGATTATTATCATCATTTCCATTTCCATGATGATGATAATTTTTCAGATAAATTAACATACAAACGATGTAATTGATAGAATATGAAATGAATGAATCACGAAATTTTTAATTTTTAACTTTTTGTTTATTTTGTCCACTTGTTTTAGCCTCAAATTGGAATTGGAAAAATTGGCAAATGAAAAAACAGAAATGCAAAGGCATTATGTTATGTATTATGAAATGTCCTATGGGCTTAATGTTGAAATGCACAAACAAGTAAGTAGTCTTGTCTGGTCTGCTGTGTGTGTTATTTTTGTGATACATTTGATTTGCTTGCAGTTTCAATGGATAGAAAAATTAATTTGCATAAAATATCAGATTAATAATAGAGTAGGATAGGAGCAGCATAGGTGTGATTATTAAAAAAAAAAAATTGATTGATTATCACCATCGATTATTACATCTTATATAGCAGAGGGATTTTTCATATTTTTTAAACACAATTTTCGGGCAGGTGTAAATCCTATTTCCTATTTTATTCATTAATAAGTCGTTTATTTGTTTATTTCAATTCTTGTGATTTTGTTTATTTAGTTTTCATTCATTCATTCATTTGTTTTTTACACTTTTTTCTTTCTTTCTTTCATTTTTTTTCTTATTTAGACCGAGATTGCCAAACGGCTAAATGCAATCATTGCTCAAATATTGCCCTACCTACAACAAGATGTAAGTATCATCATCATCATCGTCATAATAATCATGATAATGATGATGAAAATCATCATCAATATTTGACTTTGACTCTCTTTTGCACACACAAGTGTGTTTACCAAGGTCAATTTTCGTTGACCTACCCTATTTTTTCATTTTATCTTCTTCATGTGTAGACCTAGCCCTTTTTTTTTTTTTTTGTTTGAACCATCAATTTACACCTTATATATATGAAATTTTATTCGTCCACTCATTCATCAAGTACTGCAGTGTAGATAGTAGATAGATGTATTAAAAATCATTTATTTACAAAAAAAAACAACAACTACAACAACAATAAGCACCGAAAACAAAACAAAAAGAAAAAAAAACGCCAACACACACACACACAAAAGCAGAAAATCACGCAATAAATCTGCGTATATATGCCAGGCAAATGATAGCTTTTCTGAGTTTAATTTTTGTATCATCATCATCATCATTAAATATACCTGAGAATGTTGTAGACTTTTGTTGTCTAGTTATCCATCTTTTTTTCGGCTTTAGCTTTTTTTTTTTTTGTTTTGTTTTCATTTCATTACAAGTGGAAAGAACCATTTTGTTTTCACTATATATAGTTGTTGTTGTTGTTTGTTACAATTTTTTTTTCATGCCTAGCGGGCATAAAAATTGAAATTAACGACTACGATGATCAAGATGATGATGGTCATGAATGTTGAAGAAAAAAAATTTTTTTTTTCTTTGAAATTGAAAACACACACGACAGGAGATAATTGTGGACAATGAAAGACGATTTTTGAATGGCTTTTTTTTACCGCCTTATCTTTTACCTTTAATCTACTTTTTGATCCTGTTAATGTATAAATATCGTTTTTGTTTTCTATCACTAGAAATTTACTAGGCGTCTTTTTTTTCTCTCTATAGATCACATCATCATCATCCATCTAAATTAATATTCATGCTTTGCCATGTGTTCTGTTTGTTGTTGTTGTTGTTGCTGTTTTTAAAACATTTTCTACAACCATAATGATGATGATGATGATGATGATTTTGTCTTGAACAATTAACACTCGATTCATCATTTAATGGTTTTTTTTTCATTGATTTTGTTTACATGTTTTGCCTCACTAAATATTGTTATTGTCGTCGTTGTCGTTGTGATCGATTCGAATGTGTTGACCGTGAATTGATTTTTTGATGATGAGCACGCTCTCTCTCTCTTGTTGTTTTGTTCATTTGTTTAGATTGAAAATATTGAACAACGTTTTTTTTCGTTTTATTTTTTTTTTCATTCATTAAATTTGTAACAACAACAACAACGATGATGATGATGATAATAATAATGACAATCATCACCAACGAACCGTAAATATGTGTGTATGTGTGTGTGCAAAACGTTTTTCTTTCTTTTTACCATCAAAAAATCGTTGTTGCATCATCATCATCATCGTCAATTATTATTGTCCATAATAGTGGTGTATATAGTTTGCCATTTTTCATTCGATATTTTTTTTTCTTTGGTTCACTGATTAATTGATAAAATGATCACAATGTTGATCGGATGATGATCAGTTTAGTTTTGGTTTTTTTGGTTATTGTTGTTGATTGACAATATATATACTATATAGTGATAAATAAACATCATCGATAGTTTCACAAATAATAATGATGGTGGTGATTCTGCAGAGAGAGAGAGAGAGGCAGTCATCCATTGATTGACCAGAATAATGGACAGAGAAAAAGTTTCAATTTACCATAAAGACATTTTTTTTTCTTTTGCTATAATTGGATTTATTCAACTACAATATTTCCATGGTAGCCACCACAGCAATCATCATCATCATCATATTAATTTGTTTCGATGATGGTCATGGTAATGATAATGGTGGTGGTGGTGGTATCGTCTCCGATATACACTGATGAATTCTTTTCACCAGAAAAAAATGACTATTGAAAATTGTATTTTTTGTTTGGTGCAAAATTTTTTCCAGGTTTTAGGTTTTTTTTTTGCTTAGGCTACAATCATCATCATCATTGATTATGATTATTATTGGTTATGACGATGTTGATGATGAATCCAGACTTTTAGAATTTGGTGATTAGTCAAGCTTGAATGCCTTTTTGGAATGAATTCAATGAAGATGATTGACCATCCAATGGACATCAGTCACACACACACACACATATTATTATCATTTTATCAAATCGGTGGTTGACCATGCCATATAATGATAATTATTACCTGTCCATTTTTGGCCAATCAATTTTGACCGCTAAAATATTCTATTGTCGAACACAAAACTATTGAGAGAGAGAGAGAGAGAATTTCTTTTCTTTTTTTTCTCTGTCTTGATTAATTTATCCCTTTTGTTATGATATCACTGTATTTGTGTGTGGACGATGATTAGTTTGTCAATTTATAAATTGATTAAATTATCATTTTCATTTTGTTTCTATATAATGAATTTAGCATCAGCAACAAGTTGCAACAGCCGTTGAAAGAGCCAAACAATTATCAATGACAGAATTGAATGCCATCATTTCGGTAAGTATTATTGATCGATTGATTGATTTGTGTTAATATTAATTCAATTTTGATGAAATAATAGCAACAGATGCATGCTCAGCAATTACCTCCACATGCTGCTGCTGCAGCAGCTGCACATGGACCACTTCCATTGATGCCACATGCATTAGCCGGTAATTTACCACCAATGCCACCGGGTGCAGCCGGTGCTGCCGGTTTATTGGCATTAGGTGGACCACCTGGACATCATATGCCATCAGTTGCAGCAGCAATGGCTGCCGCTAATTCATCGGCAGCGGCCGCTGCTGCTGCTGCATCAGCAGCAATGAAAGAATCAAGATCTGGACCGGATAATGATCAAATTTCATCGAAACGTTCCAATAGTGGTATGTATTTGCTTATAGATTTTGTTGAATTTATCCGTCTCATTCATTTTCATTTTTTTTATCATTTACAGTGCATAGTTCTGAAGATCGTCAGGTATGTAACTGTTTTATTGTCTTTTGACAAACAACAACACAACAGAAAGAATGAAAATTGGATTGGCACATTGGATTGTGTGTTTTATGAGTCGGTTATTTTTTTTTCTCCAAATGAAAGTGGTTGAAGTTGTCTTGTTTTTTTTTTTTTTTTTCCTTCAAGCTAATTCCAATTTTTTTCCATACACGTCTTACAACTACTGATTCATTGATGATGATGATGATGATGATCCGTTCGTTGATTCTAAACCAAACCGGATAGTGGGTGATGATGATGATGGTAATGATGATCAACGTGACCAGAATCTTTTTGTTTTGTTTTTTTTTTTTTTTTTGAGTTAGCTGATCTACGATAGAGTACGGAAAAGACGGGCATCATCATTCTTGGTGTTGTTGTTGTTGTTGTTGTCCTCATTCTGGTTCGTTTAACCGTCTATTTTTGTCTGTGTGTGTGTGGTGCATTTGGTTTCAGCATTTTTTTTTGTTATTTAGTCACGTTCATGTTTTTTTTTTTTTTTCATTGTGAATTTACTGAAATCTATCAAGCACACACACACACACAATCAGTGAGCGTGTACAATTAATGATTCTATTTAGTTCTGGTGAGATGATTCTATGTGTTGTTGATGATTTTAATTCTGCTATCACTTTTTTTTCCAGATTCTTATGGTTAATATTCTTTCCTTTTCTGGAATCTCATGTATTTTTACCATATAATAATAATAAGTGAGCACAACTAGAAAAAAAACATCGCCGATCATGATAACATGAATGGGAGTGAGGCAAATTGGGAAAAAAAAGATTCTTTGAAAACAAAACAACAAGGACAAAGACAACAAAAATTGGAGAGACTTTTCCATTGGTAGTTATGGTCCAAACTAATAACCCAATGAACCAATATAGATCAAGATTGTTTTTCATCATCATGGCAATATATTGAGAGAGAGAGTGAATGAGATAACCATTGTGAAAATGGTCATGATGGTGAACTTTTGTTGGTGGCTACCCCTGGATATATCTGCCCCAATCATCGTTATATCCGAGTGAAAAAAAATTCGTGTTTAGAATTTTTGATTTAGAATTTCATTTTCATTCATTCTATGTGTAGTGGTCGTTTGGTCATCATCATCATCATCATCATAATAATGAAACGTCATCAGCCTCATTCATTTTTTTAACGTTGTTGTCATCATTATCATTTCGTTTTTGTTGTTGTTGTTGTTGTTATTCTCGTTGCTGCTGCTTTTTATTCTGTTGACCACATTAACATAATCATTATCATCATAAAGTGGAAAAATGGAAGCAAACAAAAAAAACAACGAGATTACTTTCTCTCTGGAACGTGTCTGTCTATGGCAAAAAAAAAATAAAAAAAAAAAAATAAAAATAAAAATGAGATTGATGTGAATATGGAACGAGCACAGTTTGAAAAAACGTGTCTGGAATTCTGGTTTACTTTTTTTCTGGTTTGGATTTTTTTTTTGTTTTGTTTCATATATGTTAATTATGATTACAACGATGATGACAGATTTGAATAATTGTCCATGGTGGAAAAGAAATTTTTGGTTGTAAATCTAGTGGTGTTGTTTGGTTCGATGTGTCTTGATAATAAAAAAAAAAAATTGGCAAAAGTTTTCTAATTTTGATTTTTTTTTCATTTTTAGCGTAATTCAATATCACCAAATGAAAGGGAAAAATATCGTCCATCGCCATCAGAAATGAATGATCATGATTCAATTAAAAAACGTAAATGTAAAGAAGAAAAAGATAGTGATGGTGAAAAAAGTGATCAAGAATTAGTTGTCGATGTTGCTAATGAAGATAATGTTGGTGTTGGTGGTCCAACATCGAATTCACAATCGAATGGTACAACATCACCACGTGAAAATGGTAATTCGATGGAAAAAATCTCGAAAAAAGAATTTCCATCACATAGTCCACATTCGAGCATATCATCCAATTCATCGACACCATCATCCAAACATAAAGATACGGAAAAATCCACGACACCCATACCGAAAGCAACAACACCGAATGGTGCATTGGGTAAATCATCGATACCGAAAACACCGCTAGGTCCACCTTATCCGTATCAAATGCATCCAGGAGCTCCACCACCTCATCAAATACCAGCCGATCTCAGCGCTGCAGCTGGACTGTATTCGCAATCATTAGGTTTACATAATAATATGCCACCAGGATATCCACGAGGATTGGTATGTTTTTTATTTGTCATTTTCATTGAAAGCAAGAGAATTCATAAGTGAAATTCTCCATTTGCCTTTTTTGTATGATATCGATCAATCTTAATCTAAAATACTGGTTGTTGTTTTTTTTCTGTTCTTGTTCTCCTCTCTCTCTCTTTTTAATGAATGTTTTTCTATATGGAATTGGTTGATATATTTAATATATTTATTTATAGCCATATCCTGATCCACATTCTTCATTGCGTACAAATCCTGGCTTTCCAGCACCACCGGGTGCTATTTCGGGTGGTAAACCAGCCTATTCATTTCATGTAAATGGCGAAAACCAAATAAATCCAGTGCCATTTCCAGCTGATGCATTATTGGCACCAGGAATACCACGTCATGCTCGTCAAATTAGCACATTGAATCATGGTGAAGTGGTTTGCGCCGTTACAATATCGAATCCAACTAAATATGTTTATACTGGTGGCAAAGGATGTGTCAAAGTTTGGGACATTAGTCAACCGACAGCCAAACATGTTTCACAATTGGACTGTCTTGTATGTGTATCTATTATTTTTCATTTTTTTTTTTTTATTCTATTTTCACTGCACATTGTCGTGTTTGTAGTGTACACTCTTGATGCATAAATCGAAATGAATGAATGTGAAAAAGATCCATTTATCTTGGTTATTTTTGTTGTCATCATAACGACGACAATGTTAATGTTTTTTCCTCCATTCATTTATTATTATTTTCCTTTTTTTGCTTTTCTGTGTTCATTTACTTTACTTTACCAATTCATTTTTTTTTGTTTCATGTAGCCTCGTGATAATTATATACGATCTTGTAAACTACTACCGGATAATCGTACATTGATCGTTGGTGGTGAAGCCAGTACTATTACTATATGGGATCTTGGTTTGGTATGTAAAAAAAAATTGTGATTTGATTTGTTTGATTGCTTTATTCTAATCGATTTTTTTCTACTTATTCTCCATATCAATTCATCATCATCGTCATCACATTGAATAAAGTCATCTCCACGTATAAAAGGAGAACTTAATTCTTCTGCACCAGCTTGTTATGCATTGGCCATATCACCGGATTCAAAAGTTTGTTTCAGTTGTTGTTCAGATGGAAATATTGCCGTATGGGATCTTCATAATCAAAGTTTAGTACGACAATTTCAAGGCCATACGGATGGTGCCTCTTGTATTGATATTAATTTTGATGGCAATAAATTATGGACTGGTGGCCTCGATAATACTGTTCGACATTGGGATCTACGTGAAGGTCGACAATTACATCAATATGATTTTAATTCACAAATATTCTCATTAGGATTCTGTCCAACTGGTGAATGGCTAGCAGTCGGGTATGTGTTGACGTTCATAAAACAAACAACAACAACAACAAAAAACACTTAATTTCACTATAATCGGATTTTAATTTGTTTTTCCATTGAATTTTTTTTTCTCTTTCTCTCTGTTATTCATTTCCAGAATGGAAAGTTCAAATGTTGAAGTATTGAACGTAAATAAACCGGATAAATATCAACTACATTTACATGATAGTTGTGTATTATCGTTGAAATTTTCAAGCTGTGGAAAATGGTTCGTATCGACTGGCAAAGATAATTTGCTCAATGCATGGCGAACTCCATATGGGGCTTCCATATTCCAGGTATGAATTGGATTTTTTTTTTGCTATCACTAAATTGTCAAGCTGATTGATTAATGAAAATCTTTTTCTTTTTGTTCCTCATTTTTTATTCTAGTCAAAAGAATCATCATCAGTTTTAAGCTGTGACATTTCATCGGATAATAAATTCATTGTCACTGGATCTGGCGATAAAAAAGCAACAGTTTATGAAGTCATCTACTGAAAAGAAATGCTGCTGCTGCTGGAAAACCTTTTAAAAATTATTATCTCATCTCATCACACACACACACACACATATATTGCATTGACATTTGTACAGAACGAACGATTCTTTAATTCTTTCTTAAATCGATTCACAAATATCTAAAAAAGACGAAGAAGAAATGCAACATTTTTTTTAAATTATTTCATTGTGATTTTATTTTGCACATGATTCACATATTCACGTTTTTTTTCTGTTTCATCATCATCATCATCATCATTGCATGTAGATCTCAACATTCTGTACGAAATTATTTCTCTTTTCATTGCTACTTTTTTTTATTTCTTGCCATGTTTTCATTCATTTTTATTCAATCAATCAATATAATCAATATATTTCACAAACATCGTAAACAAAACAAAAACAAAAGAAATGTATCACTCCTGTGACACATACACACACACACACGTACTGATCTTGTTTTTCATAATTTTCATTTGTAGATTTTTTTTTATTCTATTCTACTACATCACCGAAATCAATCACACACACACACACACACCCACGCATGCATACACCATGTTCGTTTTCATGTTTTCCAATCAATCATGTGGAGTATTTTTTATTTAGAATCAATGAATTCATAATCATTTTCCAGAAACAAATTTGAAAATTTTTTTCGCATCCATTAAAAGAGAATCTGAAATGTTTTTGTATCTATAAATCACAAATTACACACACACACACACACAGACACAGAAGATGCCATCATCAATGAAATGAATAGAATTTAAAATATTGGTGAAAGGTCAATTGGTCAACATTTTTAACCAACCACACACATTTGATGACATTTGTTATTATTACATTATTGAAAATCGATCATTTAACAATCGAAATAAAATATGACAAAAAAATTTTTTTTTTTTGATTTTGGTTTGTGTGTAATAACTGTGTTTATGGAATATCTGCGTTTTCGACCACTAATATGATGTTGTTTACTTTGAAGCTTATTTTTGATTTTTATTTACTTAGACCTATAGAAAACATAATAAAAAAAATCGAACAGAATAGAATAAAAGTTCCAGAAACAACAACAAAAGTTTCCAAAAACAACAATAATTTGCTACTTCATGTTCGAAATTTTTTTTTTTTCTTTTTCTTCTTCATATATAGTGTATATTATATTCGATGAAAATCGATAATGTTCGTTGGTTGGTTGGCTGGTTGTTTCGATTGTTTATTTTTGATCATCATTTTTATTATTATATATTGCCGATGATTGAAGAAACTAAAATTGAAAATAAATATACCCTCTCTCTCTCTCTCTTCAAACATACAACCATTCCGTGATTCTATAGAAACAAAATTGCAATAAACCAAACAACAACATTCATTCATTCTCATCATCAAGTACATTGTAATTTGAACCAAACGAATCCGTAGCAAAGAAGAAGAAAAAAAACATGGAATAAAAATAAACAAACAAACAAAAATAAAATGAATAAATGATCCATTGATTCAACTTTCGTTTCGATTCTCCAATAACATCTCATCATCACAATTTTCTCTCTCTCTCTCTATTGAATATACGCCCTTGGGATTCTTGAATTTTTTTTTGTTTGTTTGTTTGATTCTGCATTTCACTCACTCACTCACTCACTCACTTACACAAACAAAAAAAATTCATTTATCTCTGTTTACATAAACACAATTCACATCTGAATTTATGATGATGATGATGATGATGATCTTGAAACGTGAAAAGTTCGAGAGAGAGAAAAAGTGTTTCTTTTCTCTCTAGTTTTAGTTTAAGTTGTTGTTGTTGTCGTCGTCGTCGTCGTCGTCGTTATCGTTGTGTAGTTATGGATCATGATTTCAAGTATGTTCAAGTCTTTTTTTCCCCTTTGTATATTTGCTTTTAAGATTTACACAACAAATACATAAACAAATAAATAAACAAACAAAAACATGCTTTAGATGTACAGAATTCTAGAATCGTATGAATTTCATGATCAAACTTTTTTTCATCTCTCTCTCTCTCTTTCGATCTGATTAATGAGAAATTTTGCTCCTTTGTAATAATGACATTGTTGTTCATTGAAATCAACAATGTTTTTGTGTTTGTGTGTGTGTGTATCAATTATTAAATAATAATGATAAATCTATTTACAATCAAATTTAATGCGATTTAATTGTGAAATCATCATCATCATCAAGAAGAAGAAAAAAAAGCTATTCATTGGGACCAATTCTTGATAGCTATTATTACGATTTTTTTATTATTAATGTTGTTGTTGTTGTTGTTGTTGTTACATTTTGTTGTTCATTCATTGGAAACATGATGGTGATTGATTCACTTTACTTGATTCACAATACACACACACAATGTTGCTAAAATGAATCAGAAAACGAGAGAGATGTTTCGCTAGAAATAAATGAAAAATTTGATTTTTTTTTCATTCTGTCGAATTTTTTTTTTTGTTTCGTTCACGTAAAAACATGATGACAACAGGAGTGCAGAAAAAATGTGTTAGAATACAGAATTCGAGACTGAAAAATGAATGAATCGCATGTTATTCATTTTAGAGAATGAATGAGTGAAACAATTTTTTTTCCACTAAATAAAATATGTTGACATTGACAAAAGAAGCAAAAAGAAAAAAAAAACACTAAACAGAAATATTGAAATTCCCTTTTGGGGAATCGAGATTTTTTTCTTTTTTGATTTCGTTTTGTTTGGCCAATACAAACAAACAAAACAAACACACACGCACGACAACATTTACAATGTTTTGTATTGAAAGATAATGTCAGAAAAAAAAATTTTACTGTCACACAGAATATTCGAGATTCTTTTTTGTCATCATCTATTTATATCTCAACTCCCAATTGGAAAACGACAAATGTCAAAACATTTTATTTTTTTTTTTTTTGTTAAATTTCACAAAAAAATCAATTTTTTTTTCGTTCCATATTTTCCTACTCATCGGTATTAATGTTTTGAATTTTTTGACAATTTAAAAAAATTTTTTTTTTTTTGTTTGCCATCAAAATTTTTTTCAATGATTGATCAAGTGTTGAAATCATTAAAATCTTAACATTTTAATTAGGACAACAATGTTTTTTGTTTTTTCTCCAACAGGATTTTATTTGCACACACACACACACACACACACACACACATATGCAAATTCAATCGAAATTAGATTTTGGATAAAATGAAACAAGCTGATGTGTGTGACGGTGAAATCGTGCTTTTTTTCGGGTAAATCTCATTTTATACATTTTGTCTAGATTCAGATGAATGGATTTTCAATCGTCGGGAATTGGCAGTCACAGCAGCTGCTGCTATTATGTTGTTTGTTTCAAATTCGCCGGAATTTGATTCGGATGGTTTTTTTTTCATCGACAATATGTTCAATGGTTCAGATGATGATGGTGATGATGATGATGAAAAGATAGAGGCGAAAATTAAATTAAAGCTCGTGTCTTGTGCGTGTGTGTGTGTTCATCATGGAATTTGGAAAATAATGTTTGGGGCTGAAAATGCGGTAATTTTTTTTTCTCTTCAAAATTCTTAAATTCTGGAATCTTTGTTCAATGGGTTTTTCGCTGTGTATCGATCTATTTTTTTTGTTGCATTTCATTTCTTCGCATCCAACTTCAATGGAACATCATTTGATTGTTGGAATTTTGTTGATGATGATGATGATGATGATAATGTTTGTGTTTTGTGTTTGCAAGCTTATTGAATTGTGAATTCAACGGATAAAGTGATGCAGAAAAAAAAAACGAAAACAAAAAAAAAAGACAGACTTGAAATTGAAAACGAAGACATGGGCCAAGAAACAAAATGATAAGAAACGAACTCTATGGATTCAAGAATTTTTTTTTTGGCTTGGAAATTTCTTATTGCTTTATTTCCTGGCTGGTTGGCTTATTTTCTTTTTCTTTTCCTATCTTGCTCCCTCTCTCTCTTTCACTGTTTTTTCAATAATTCGAGACAATCTTTTTTTTTTGCAGCAGGCCAAATTCTGGTTCATTTTTTTTTGTTTCTTCTTAAAGATTCTTTTCGTTTTTATTTTGTTGTCGGTCCGTTGGTTCATTTATTTTCGTTTATTCTCATTTTTTTTCGTATCAAAAGATGTCTTTTTTTTCTTCTTCTTCTTCGGTATGCTTTTCTTGGTTTTTTGTTGTTTCACCATTTTTTTTCGGTTTCGTTCAACCAGAAAAAAGCGTTGAAAAAGTGAAATGAAAAGAAAGTGGAAAGAAAAACATAGAACCAAGCGATGAAGCAAGCCAAGCTGATGAATGAGTGAATGGAGACAAGAATAAAAAAAAAATTTTCTTTATTCGTAAGTCAAAGAATGGCTGGCATACACTCACATATACACATCATTCGTGGTCCGGAATTCTTTCATGGTTCATCTAGTTCACGGTAAAATGGTGCAATACAATATTTCACTAACATCAATTGAAAGAAAAAAAAATATTTCCATTGAAAAATGGTTTGAAACATGAAAAACGAAAAGAAAAAATGATGGAGATATGATGGTGGAATTTAATAAATTTTTTTCCAGAAATGCTGGAACAACACTCTTGATTCCTGAAAAAAAAACGAAGAGGAAAACTAAATTCGAAAACATTTCGATTTTTATTTTCACTTTTTTCGTCAACAATGAAAAAGAATAAAAAAAAAAATTATGATCACCTTTGTTATGAACGGCTCTTTTTTGGCGTGCTCAATTTCCTTTTTATTCTGCTCAATGAATCTGCTTTTTCTGTGTTTATTCTCTGTTTACATTTTCATTGATGTTTTGTTTCGAAACGTTTTATTTTCTGATGAAAACAATGGAAACTCCTGCTGCAATTTTGAATCAAATTGTCATTGATAATATTACCGATGCTGTATATACATTGTTACCTTGTAAAGGTAAATTATTTCAATATCGTTGTGAAGTAAAAGGCCATATCGAAGAAGCATTAGGCCAATCGAAAAAGAAAGCCAAACAAGCTGCAGCGAAAAAAATGGTAATTTATCTTTTAAATGATTCAAAACTTACAATCGCCGGCAATCTTGATCAGATTCATGCTATACTTGATCAATATGATGAAGTTGGTGCATCCAATGAATTGAAGGAGAAAAAAGAAGCTACCCAAATTCAACAGCCTTCATCGAATACTATTAGTGATTTGCAAATATTGTGCTCACGAAAACGATGGGAATCACCATCATACAATGAGGTCGAAACCAAGGGAATGCCACACGATCGAGTGTTTGTTATCGAATGTTTCATTAAAGAAATGAATTTATCTGCCACTGGTTCTGGTAAATCTAAACAACAAGCTAAACATGATGCTGCATCAAAAATGATGGCCATTTTGAAGAATGAAAATTTAGATAAATCAGACGAAATTTTAGATCATCATAGTAAACGAAACAAAGTTTTTGAATATCAACCTAAAACAAAATTTGATATACCAAAAGCAATCGATGATTTTCTCAAGAATGAAGAAAAAAATCAACTTAAAGCTTATAATACGTTTAATTTTTTTGCAAAAATCACATCGGATGCTGAAAAAATGGGAAAGATGAAAAAATTAATACCGAATGGCATTGATTTTATACAACATTTTTTCGCCGCTGATGAAACCGTTGATTCTAACAATATTGAAATATTGGCAGCAAATATAGCTCAAATATTCGATTGTAAACTTGTACTATCATGTTTGCCAGATAAATCATCTGTTGGTCAATATCAATATTTGGCTGAATTTTTTACCACTGATGAATCTCCCGGTACATTGCCATTGATTACTGTTTGGGGTGCCGATAATGATTTGATTATGGCACGTATTAAATCCGTACGATATTTGATATTGCAAATTGTATTCTATCTTTCAATCAATGAAAATTTTAATTGTCATTCTGGTAAGAATTTTTTTTATTTGATCCATTCTAATTCATTTTCTTTTTTTTTCTTTTCATGTATTATCTTGAAAAAGAAAATGAATAGTCAACCATTTGAGTCAAACCGTTTATCATATCATTATCATTTTTGGCCACTGTTTATGGAACATCATATTTTTTTAAAATCATCAAAAAACATTTACATTGCTTAAATTCACCACTTTTTTTTTTTGAATATTTACCTATACACATATTGATATAACATTACAAGAATTCATTGTTTCGTTTCTATGATTCTCTATTTTGAATATCGCTAACTAAAATAAACCAACAACATCATCATACATATAATTTTTCATGATTGTTAACTGAAGAATATTCAAAGAATCCGAGCTATTTCGGACAACAACAACAACATTGTTGTTGTCATAATCGTATATTGAACATAATGATTATTATAATGATGATGATGATGATGATGTTTGTCAATGATCATCATCATCATCATCAATTACTATCGTTGAAATAAAAATTCTTTTGGAATTCCTCTGTTATGTTGTTCATTGTTCATTTGCTATTGTTGTTGTTGTTGTTGTTACTGGTCTCTATATATTACACGATACATACAAAAGAATCTGTTCGGTCTGGTTTTTGTTGTCGTTGTTGGTCATTGTTGATTAAATAGATGAATGAATGAATGAATGAGGGAATGGTTCCAAGAAAAAAAAAGACAAAATAGCAATTCCAATCTACACAAACACACACACACACCCACTCACTATGAATAGAATCGACATTCCATGTACTTTTATTCATCTATTTATTTGGTTGTTATTTTTATCATCAACATCATCATCCTACACGATCATTATCACCATTTTGTTATTATTTTATTATTTAGTGGATACAATTTTTTTCTGAAATTCTCAACATCACATGACAAATACCTACATTTAATAAAAATAAACAAGAGTGAATGAAAAACAAGAATCGATACCTAAATCATCATGTTCGAACAACAACAACAACAACAGCAACGATCGAAAACACTAACAAATAAATAAATAAATGATTTCAAGCGCTACTGATGTAAATAGAGAAACCAGCTGCAAAAAAAAAAAAAAAAAAATTAGTTTAGCTTGCAAACCGACTAGATCCGTTTAGTTTTAACCAAAGAAAAAAAAAGAAATCACTGAATACGAATAAAAATGTGTGTTCCAGAATCCAAAAAAAAAGAATAACAGAAAAAAGTGATTCCTATAAAATGTCGAATGGTCACACACACACACACACCCGAATAAACAAGCTTTTCAACTCAAATTTCTTTTGTGTTGGAACCATGGAACAAAAAAAAAAAAAAAAAAAAACAAAAAAAAAACGAGGAATTCAGTATATCAGAATTGATGTTTGTGTAGTGTACATGTCTCTCTCTCTCACTCTCCACGTTCATTTCAAACAACCCGAAAAATAAAAACGGAATCAGATAGAGTTCGAGAATGAATGAATGAATGAAAAAAAAACTAGAGAATGCCCCCTGAAGAATATATAACGACAAAAACATCCCAAACAAACAAACAAACTAAACCAAATAATAAAAAAAAAAAAAAAACAGAATAACGAATGATCTGGTACTTCGTCGTAGTCGTTTTGTTGTTGTTGTTGTTTTCCTTTGAGAGCAAAACAAAACAAAAAAAAGCTGCTTTTCAGGGTCCTCTCTCTCTCTCACTCTTATTCTTGGTTCGTTTGTCTTGTGTTGTTGTTGTTGTTGATGATGATGATTCCTCGGGATTCTTTCGTTTGTTTCCAATTTTTTTTCTTTTTCTCTCTCTTTCTGTTTTTTTTCCTGTCTCTTTATCTTGTAAACACACAAGAATTGTGCGTGTGTGTGTGTTCCAAATTTTTTTTCCACTATATCAAAAGACTATAGAGAGAGAGAGAGAGAGAGAGCACAAAAGATTCCTAAGGGAATGAATATATACGAATAAAACGGACAAGATAGAATCCAATTTCTTCTTCTTCTGTTGTTGTTGTTGTTGTTTGTTGATGATGATGATGTTTGTTGGTTGTGTTGTCATCATCATCATCATCATCATCATTGAATCGAAAATAAGTGAATGAGTGTGTAGTGTATGTGTAACCATTTTAGATTGTATATATGTGGATGGGTACAATAATCATCATCATCATCATTGCCAATGGGCTTCAATGGCTACATCACACTTCGTTTTTCATCATCATCATCATCATCATCATTATTATTATTATGGTGTGGGTGTTTATAAAGAATCGGAATGGATGAGGGGCTTACAACGAGAATTATTTGAACGAGATTCATTTGAGCTCGATAAACTTGTGAAAACTTTCTTACTCACATTCATTCATTCATTCGATGTGACAGTTGTATATCAAAATCACGTTACCATTTATATGTGAATGTATTATGAAACGATGTGATTTGTTTGTGATCTTGGTTGGTTGGTTTGTTGGGGGGGGAGAGGTTGCTATATAATAATAAAAACTATATATACTTGTCTATATTGACCATTTTAACCATCTGGAATTGTTTCACATTCTGTGTGTGTGTGTGTGGAAGCAAAAGAAGACGAAGAACAAAAAAAAAAAATTTTATTTCACAACCGAATATTGAACATAACAACAACAACAACAAACAATAATGAAAACCGTTTGTTTGTGTATAGAAAAAGGCGTTTCAGGAACAACAACAACAACAACAATAATAATAATAAACGAAAGCAGCCGAAGCAGTTAAAATTTGATGTTTTTAGATATTTCGTTTTCATAATAGTTGACATAAATGTTTGTGTGTGTGTGTGTGTATTGTGTATTGTGTTTGTGGATTTCCCATTTAGCCACTTCTTCTTGTTATATTCTAGGCCAGAATCTAAAATCTAAATGAATGAATGAATGAAAAAAAAACGCAGCAACAGAAGCGGTAAGTGAATCAAAGGAATTTTTTTTCTCTATTATATAACACACACACTAAAAGAGGCGCGATAAAGCAGCAATAAATGAATTCTGTACCGATATTCAACCGACCAACCAAACTAAACGCATGAATGAATGAATGGATGGATGGATGAATAGAATTGGTGAAAGGAAAAAAAAAAAAAAGATTCCGAATGAATAGAATAGAATAGAATGAACTAAAGTTTGAAGCAATAGTGAAATGAATGAGTGAACAACCCGACATACTTTTGGACAGATTTTTTTTGTTCTCTGTTCAATCATAATTTTTATATTCTGGGTTTGTTGTTGTTGTTTGGCACACACATTATACAAACTTATTCCTCATGTTTCGGTTCGGTTAAATTTCATTCTTTTTTTTATTCATCGGGTTGTGTGTGTGTGTAGTCAATTCACTTTCTATATTGATCATTCATTCACTATATATATTCATTATATGGCAGTATCAATATTCTTTTCATTCTTTTCTTTCGTTATGTTGTTTATAAAAGTTTTTCTTGTATTCTTAACATTTGATCAGAATTGGTTGATTGGTTGTCGAGAATAATGAAAAAAAATCAAACCAAACTCGATGATTCTTGATTCCATGTATTGGAAATTCTGTAGCATATAGAATATATGCGAACATTTATTCAAAATCAATTGGATTCAAGATTCATGGATAGTCAAATTGCAAATTAAATTAACATTTACGTTGTCGCATCTTTTTTTGTTTTGTTTTCGTTTTTGTTTTCATTTCCTACATAAACATTGTATAATTCTATTAGCTAATCCAATTTAATTGAGAAAATTCCATGACACAGACATATATAATTGTGGCTGAATGTGTTGGTTGAATTTGTAATTTTTTTTTTCATTTCTAAACAATCGATCACACGATTGGAACATATTCCGTTTTATTTCTACTATAAGACGTAATCATTTATCGACTTGTTTTTGTTGTTGTTGTTGTTGTTTTTTTTTTTTGGTTAATTAATCAATTAAAATCAACTGTACTACTAAGCAAACCAAAACAATAATGATCATGATCATCATTATCATTATTTTGGTAACTACCACTACTACTATCATCGATCCACTATAACCACACAACGATCAAACAAAAAAAATCGTATACGATTCAATTATTATATCGATCATCATCATCATCATCAGCACTAATAAAATCAACACACAACTCTACTCATAGAAAACACTATTATTTTGTCGAAAACTTTTTTTTTCAAGTATTGAATTGTGTCAGTGCATGTGTGTGTGTGTGTTTTTCCTACTGGTTGAAAAACACACACACACAATTAACCAGAGAAGCAGACAACAACAAAAAAAAAATCGATCTGTTTGGATTATATGGATCAAATATGATGAAAGAATGAAACCGAAACAAGAGATAGAGCAACGCAGAATGATTGATCAGAAAAATGAATGAATGAATGAATGAATGTCTCTCAATGGAAAAACATTTCCAGTTTTCATAGTGTTAAAAACGAATCCATTGAACAATTTTACGTCATCATTCAATGGATGGATTCTATCTACTGTACACTATTATTACATTACATAATAATAATAATAAATCAACAGAATCAAAGAAAAAATTGAAGTCAATAATAAACAAGAATAAAACACATGTGCACATACGCACACACTTTGTTATTTGGTTCCTCATCATCGTTTTTTTTTTTCTTGTTGTTGTTGTTGTTGTTTGCATTCTTTTTTTTTACTGCAATAAATACATGCGTATCATCATCATCATCATGATCATGATCATCATTGAGACGACAACCACAATGGGAATATAGAGAGAGAGAGAGAGAGTGAATTAATCACAGAATGTAAAAGCATAATAAACATCATCACCATCAGTAACGACAACATTTTTTTTTTCCAAAATACAAACTGTTCATATTTGAACTGTTCCTGAATACAAAACGACAAAAAAAAATCCGATTTAGACTACCAGTAGACTACTATAGTAGTCTATTTAGGTCCGATATATAATCTTATTGATGATGATGATGATGATGATGATGTAGATGTATGATCATCATCATCATCATCATCATCAATAAGAGTTACCATGGGGAATCATGAATCAATGGGATGGAATGAAATGAATAGAATTCTTTTGATGATGATGATGATGATGCGTATGGTAGGGAATCTATTCAAACTCAATTTATTCTATTTCACAGAATCTATCTAGCTATAGATAGATTTTGTTATTAGGCTTCATAAACACGCACACACACACAAAGATATGGGCCATCATCCATTAACCAAAATGTTTTTGTTACTGAAATAAATTGATGAACTATGGAATTAATGATGATGATGAGTGCAATCATCATCATCATCATCATCATCGAATCGAAAAAAAGGGTCAAATAAAAAAAGAGAAAAAAAAGGCCTTGAATCATGTAAACCAAATAACAACATCAAACACAATGAATGATGACCAAAAAACATTTATGGAATTGTCTGTGATTTGATCCATAATGATGCGATTCCATATAAATGACAATAACAACAACAACAACAACAACAACGACGACAACGAAATCAATTGATAGAAAAAATATTTGAATTTCAAAAAAAAAAATTCATTGTATAACGCATGCGTTATTTTCATTTTTGATTCAATATAAAACATATACGCATATTTTGTAGCCAACTTTGGCGCGCAATCTTTTCAATTCTTTTCAATGTTCGGTATGGTTCTTCACATATATATGTTTTGCTATGGCCCCGTTTTTTTTGTTGTTGCCTTGTTTGCCATTCCATGGTCGATCCGCTACCACCAACATCGATTCATGTCTGTGTTTTTTTTTGTATGGCACGATTTTCTGGATAATGCGCACATTTTAGTAGTTATAGACAACCAAATCCAGAAGACGAAAAAAAAAAAAAAAATTTTGCAATTGAATCCTAACCATGGATCACCAACATACTACAAAACACAGACGAAACAAACGATGATGATGATGATCGAGTGTAGCAGATTTTTTTTTCATTTTATTCATTTTTTTTCATGTTTTGGCACATACAACACCACCACAGACACACACACACACACACGAAAAATAATAACCATAACCATCATATATGTAATATACTGTGATTCATATCAGACACACACAGACAAAAACAAATTTAGTTTGTTGTTGTGTCGAATCAGTGTTTAGTTCATATTTCAAAATGTTTTCTATTGGTGTTGGTGTTTATAGATAGATGATGATTATGGTGATTGTTGTTGTTGTTGGTATTGTTGTTCAATTGTATGATTCATTCGTGATATGGACACGAATGATTTATCATCATCATCATCATCATTGATTGAAGTATTTAAATTTCCAGTGTTTATGCTCGTGTATGTGTATGTAATTTATTCCGTGATTCTGGAATCGTTTGTTTTAGAAAAGTTTTTTTTTGTTAATCAAATGATTCTAGTCATCAAATTGAAAAAAAAATGATTTTATTTTTCCATCCACAGCAACAACAACAACAACAACAACGATAAAAATTTCATCATTAACATCCCATTAGATCTCTTCATCATCATCATCATCATCATCAACATTGATTTAATCAATCAACATCGTGTCATCATCATCGTCATCAGAAAAATAATCTTTCAAATCAACCAAACAAACACAAACACATAAAAAGAAATTCAAATGAAAAAAATGTTTCCAACAAGACATTCGGTAAGTAATATTTTGAAGAGTTTTCCCAATCAACCAGTAATCATAATCACACACGTACACAAACATTGCCTATTTCTCGATCTTTCTGTTGACATCATCATCATCATCAACTCATCAAATAAAAAGAACATCGAACTTGTAAAATAATAATAAAGATGGTTTATTATACATATAAAAAAAACAAAATTCCTACAACCACGATAAATGGCATCGAATGAAATTGAATAACAATCATCATCATCATCATTATTGCTTGAATATTCTATAGCCATCACAAACACATAAAATCTTTATTCTGAACAACAACAACAACAACAACAACAACAAAAAACAGAGATTCCATAGTAGTAGTAGTAGTAGTAGTAGTTACAGTAGCAGTTGCAAAACCTTTTGGGAATTGATTCAAATACAACAACAACAGAATTGAATTGAATTGTGTGTGTGTGTGTTGACTTTATGTGATCAAATAAACTCTAAACAAACAAATACTACCAATAAGAATATGAAGAAGAAAAAAAATTTATTCTATTTTCGGAACAATGAAACTTTTACGCATTACATATATATAAATAAATGAAGTAAAGAAAAAAAAAGAGATTCTCTGGTTTATTACCACCACTATATTCTGCTACTTTGAATTTGTACAACACACACATACACACACGCACAGACAATAATGATATACAAAGTTCAGAATTTTTGTCTTGTGTTTAAATGTCGACGGCGTCATCAGCATTGATGATGATGATGATGATGATGTTGATAATGATTGTTGCAACCATAATATGTTTGAAACACTCATATATCATTTATTTTTATTTGATTCTTGAGAAATAAGAAAAACAAGAAAACAAAAAAAAATTCTTTTTCGTCGTCATCATTAGTTTTTTTTCTCTCGTGATGTAATCATCTTTTTTTTCATTTTATTATATAATAACACCCATAATCATCATCATCATCATCATCAAAAACAGAATTTGATGATTATGGTGACAACAATCTATCTTAACAGATGAGATGACAATGATGATGATCATGACATGATGACAATCTTTTTTTTCAATTCTCATTCTATTCTGCATTCATCATCATAATTTTGATTTAATGATAAAACAACAATGAAAAATGAAAACATGGATGAACATAGACAGAATGGAAAAAAAACTGACTGTTATCATCATCATCATTTGAAAATGTCATTCTTTTCATTCAAAAACAAATTATCTTGCCATGGCAATTTTTTTTTATTATCTGTCTATGTTTATTATCTGTCGTCGTTAGTCTGTCGGTCAATTTGATAGTTTTTTTGGCCAGTTCCGCGGATTCTTTTAGGTCGTAAGGATCTTTATTCTTTAATTATTCTTTTCATAGTAGATTTTTTTTTGTTTTATTTTTACAACTTGGAATCACCAGAATCTCGTAGGAACAAACAGTACACAAACATACATGTTATAACACTGATTTTACTTGGATTACAGAATCCATCACGATTCTGTATTCTATTCTTTTACTTTTTTTTCCTATTTCTCTCGGTATGTTTGTGTGTGTGTGTCATTATTTTTCTTTTTCAGGGTTGCCCATTTAATTATTTTCTAAATTACTCTCTGGATCTCTTTTTTTTTTTGTTTCTTTTCTTTTGGTCTGTTTTTTTTTGTGTGCGTGTGTATGTTTCGCTAATTCGCTGTCGAAATGATTGCCATTTTCATGTGTGTGTGTGTGTGTGGTTTTAATAATTATCTCTGTTCTCTATGGTCGTGATAGTCACATTCACCATCGCTTTACCACCGGTTTTATTCGTGGATTCTATGAAAAAAAAATTACAAAAGGCCAACGCCACACACACACACACACACACACACACGAATGAACTGTAATAATCTCTCACTCCCTTTCTCATTTATGTTTGGTTTTGTTTCATATTTCTGGTTCGTTGTTTCCAAATTTCCGTCTATTTTCCCGGGAAAATTAGGCCAAACAAGAGTTTTGTTGAACATCTAGTTTTTGAGGACCAAGTACATTCATCATCATGCTGGTGCATGCAATAACTTTTCATTCCCCCTCGAAAAAAACCCATTTCCATCTCCATCAGTAGTTGGTTCCGATTCCAGGAATGTTCATACACAATCATTCAAGATTGCATTTGTTAAACAAGTATCAAATTGAGAGCAATGAATAGAAAAAAAAACAAAAACAAAAAACACCAACTTTGTTTTTATTGAATTTTTCATTTCATATTTTTCCTTTCTCTCTCTCTCTTTCTCTTTCTCATGATTCGTTACCTGGTGGTCCATATTCGATCCACTATCATCATCATCATCATTGTCGTCGTCATAATTCAAACCTACCTGCTTGGTTAATGGCATTGTTGTTGCTGTTGTTGTTGTTGTTACTATTGTTCAGGTGCCACAAGCTGGCCAAACAACATTCAAATATACAATATTAGAAACCTGTGAACGTATTAAAGAAGAATTTAATTATCTTCAAGCACAAAATCATAGGTAAATACATTACATTTGTGGTGACTTGATTCAAAATTTCAATTTTTTTCTGTCTTTTTTTTCTATTGCAAAAATTTCTATATAGCCTCAAAATGGAAATTGAAAAAATGGCACAGGAAAAAACTGAAATGCAACGACATTATGTAATGGTAATGTGATTTGCTCAATGATCACTTGATCATCACATTGATTAATTGAAAAATGTATTTTTCCCCCTCCCTTCTAATCATCTTCATCAGTATTATGAAATGTCCTACGGATTGAATGTTGAAATGCACAAACAGGTATGGATTTGAAAATCAAACTTTTTTTTTTTTGATCAATAATTCTCCACTTTATTCCACTCAATTCCACTTCAAAATGGAAAAAAAACCAGACCGAAATTGCCAAACGATTGAATACAATTATTGTACAGATAATGCCTTATCTATCACAAGAGGTAAAATTGAAATTAAAAATTTGAAAATGAAAAAATTTTTTTTTTAATCGCTGAATTTCACACACAATGTGAATAGCATCAAACACAAGTAGCAACGGCTGTTGAAAGAGCCAAACAAGTGACAATGTCTGAATTGGGCACGATACTAAGTGTAAGTTTGGGTGAGGGGGGAGCGGAAGGTGAAACGAAAACAAAAAAAAAAAAAAATGCAAAAATAAATCATTTCTTTCCTTTTTCTTTCGTTTTTCATTCATTGGAAATCCATCCACATTCATTCATCAGCAACAATCGGGTATCGCACATCTTTTGGTAAGTTTTTTTTGCCATTTTTGATTCGAAATTTTTTTTTTTTGTCATTTTGTCTGTCTCCATTCACTTTTCATCCGGGTATATAATCCTACTACTCTGTTTGATGATCACGATTTTGATGACATGCACACGAATACTAAGCCTGCATGTGTGTGTGTGCGTGTGTGTTATTTGATACGATTTTCACAAGTTTTTTTTTCAATTCTGTAGAATTTAAATTGTCAAGTTTGTTTTTTTTTTGGCAGTTTTCGTTATAAAATTTTTTGAGATTTAATTATAGAACGCATTTAATCAGTGTGTAGGGCTATTTAAACAAAAAAAAATTAGCATCACCAATTTGTTTGCACTCGTTTCAAACTTTTCAAAATGCAAAAATTTTCATATATAAAGTGGTGATCAGATTACAGCAATACAAAACGACGACGATGATGATGTTGAGATCAGATTTCAGACAGAAATCTACTACTACTAGAAAAAAATGATCATCATCAAATGATGACCGGATAAACGTGAAAATTTATTGAAAAAAAAAATCAAAAATTCATGTATATGGACCGTTAATTCTTCGACAGACACACACAGCACACAACACACAACAGTCTTATTTATTCAAATTCAATGGGCCATGTGTGTCGGTCGGTTGGTTTGAAAAGCCTGCTAGACAGGCGAAAAAAACCCCCCAAAACCAATTTGCTCCATTTGCTTTTTTTAGCCATTGGTATAGCCTATTAAATTAACTGTCCATGTCTGGCCATTTTTTGATGTAGATTCGTAGAATTTTCGCTTTTTGCTTTCCGCTTTTATTATTTTTGATGATGATCTGTTTTAGGTCGGGAATTTTTTTTTCTTTTTTTTACTCCATTTCGCTCATTTGTTTTTTTTCCACTTCAATGACATTTGTTGTGAAAATCTGCATGACGTAATGATGATGATGATGATGATAAAAGTGAAAGAAAAAAAAACACTAAACGATCAAATAAATGAATGAATGAATGAGTGGTCCAAAATTTTTTTTCTCTCCATATGAATTTCCATTAATCTTAATGTTTGCATTTTCATTCGGTCTCAGTAGGGTGTTTTGGTTGTTTGTTTTGTCTTGTCTTGGTTAGCTCCTCTAAACTGTTAATTTTTTTTTGTGGCTTTCCTAATTACATCATCATCATCATTATCATTAATGTTGGAAATTTGTCGAATTTTTTGATTGCTTTTGATGATTAAATATTCATTTTGATTTTTTTTTCATTTTAATTTAGCAATTAGAACAGATTCGTTCAGCAACAGCAACAGCAGCAGGGAATACCAGCAGCCGCTGCCGCTGCATCACATCCAAATGGTCCAGGATCATCATCATTAACGTCTAATGCTATAACTGGTATAGGTCCAACTAGTTTAGCACAACATGCTGCTGCATTACATTCAGGTTTACCAGCTGGTTCAACAACTGCTGCTGCTGCTGCTGTATTATCTGCTGCTGGAATCGCAGCACCATCAAATTCTGCAACAGCAGGATTATTAGCATTATCTACTGGATCATTAAATCCAAATGGTATCCAATCTATTACCGGTACAACACCAACATCATCAACAACATCGGGTCTTTTACCTGGTTCATTAATGACATCATTATCATCATCAAGTAATGGATTGAATCCATGTTCAACAATTCCATTACCACCACCATCAAGTTGTACACCAAATTCAACAACAAGTTCATCCAGTTTACAAGCGACAAACAACAACAACAATAACAATGCCTCAATCAAACAAGAATCAATCGGTGGATCATCCATTCGAGATATTAGTGATCGAAAAATCAATGATGACAATCGTCGTGAGGTTAGTAATATTGAATCAAAACAAACAAAATGACAAAACACAAACTAGAAAGGAAATGAAACGGGATTTTTTTTTGTTAGCGAAGTTTAAAAATCATTGATTCGATCAATAATTGAAATTTCCTTTTCATTAATTCTTTAAAAAAAAATTTCATTCTGTTGCTGTTTCAATTCAATGATTTTTCATTCGACCATCGTTTATAAAATGGTTTCATGAGGACGATGACTCTCGAAAAGCTTGAATTTATTTACTCATGATTTGTTGCAATCATCATCAATTCTTATTTATATTGTTGGATTGTCGCAAACTAAATCTCAACTAAACAAGCATCGAGGAAATCGAGCGTAATAGTCAATCTCTTTTTTTTCCTTCTCCATTTGGGTTAGTGTATATACATCCCGTTTTTTTTTCTTGCTCAAAATGACGCTGGTCGATGATGATGATGACAACAACAACAACAACAACGATGATGATGATGATGTTTAATGATGGTTTAAGAATTAATCATTTGAGTGAATAGAAAAATTTCTTCATCAGAGCATCTGCTTAGTAGAAAAAAAAACTTTTTGTTGTTGTTGTTGTTGTCGTTGTGGTAAGTTTTTGACGTTGTAAGTTTTTCACAAAATGATTGATCATGTCTGCATCGTTTTCTTTTCAATTTAATTCAATTTTTGCATTTTTTTTTTTTGTCAATATTATAAAATGAAAAAAATACGAAAATACAAAAGTTTTCGCTGTTGTTTATTGTGATTTTATTCATTCATTTATTTATTTTCTTTTTAAATAAAAAATCAATTTAATCAAGATCAATATCGATATATATAGAGCGCGTGGGTGTTTTTTTTAATCAATTGAAATCCGATTTACATTTGACATGTGACACACATGAATACAAGCGTGCGCGCGCGCGTGTTTGAACAATTTCAAAATCAATGGCCTGTTTGTTTGTGCTGATTATCGATTTGTTTGTTTTTTTTTCTTTCTTTCTTTTTTTTACATAAAAAAATTAGGATCAAATTTCACCACACAATGGTGATACATTATCACCACGTGAAACAACATTAGCGACAACAACAACAACAAATAGCCTTCCTGAAATTCGTAGTATAAAACGTGATAGACCATCATCTCGGTCATCATCATCGAATCGTTCAACACCAAGTGGCCATCATAAAACAACAACATCGAAAAATGATCATGTAAATTGAAATTAATGGCTTTAATATTCATCCGATCAGATCATTCTAATCAAAATAGTTTTCTCGACATCGATCGATAGGGAGACAGCAAATCGCCAACATCATTGAATCAGAAATCTGGAACACCAAATCATAATCATCATAATAATAATAATAATGGTACCGCAGCCAACAATAACAACAGCATTACGAATGGTTCGAAAACACCGAAACCAACTACATCGATAGGACCACCATATCCATATTTACCTGGACCACCTGGAATGATGCCTTCGGATATTAGTATGGCTGCTGCTGCCGCCGCTGCTGCCTATTCACAAGGTTTATTTAACAATAATTTTGGTGTTACTACTACTACTACAACAGGATCATTGATAACAGGATTTCCAAGAACTTTATTACCTGGAACAGTATTCGATTCTTCTACACATCCATCAATGATGAAAGGACAACAAATGCAACAACAATCATCTATGCCAGGACAACCAATACAACCACAATCATCAATATCTAGTGGTGGTAAACCAGCATATTCTTATCATGTCGATGCTGATGGCCAATATAATCCAGTACCATTTCCACCGGATGCATTAATCGGTCATGGTATACCAAGACATGCCCGCCAAATGAATACATTACCACATGGTGAAGTAGTATGCGCCGTGACAATATCAAATCCAACCAAATATATTTTAACCGGTGGTAAAGGCTGTGTTAAAATGTGGGATATTATTAATCAACAACAGAATAGTAAAACACCAGTCGCTCAACTTGATTGTTTGGTAATTCATTCATTCATTCATTCACTTTTTTTTGGTGATTACAAAATTAAAATTGACATTTCTATTTCCATTAGCAACGAGAAAATTATATTCGATCTTGTAAATTATTACCCGATGGTCGTACATTAATTGTTGGTGGTGAAGCGACGACAATTTGTATTTGGGATTTAAACCTGGTAATCATTTATTTTTTTCGACATGTTAGATTCAATTGAAATGATTTATACCATCACACGTTTTATCATTCGTTGTGTATAGCCAACGCCAAAAATCAAAGGAGAATTATCATCATCAGCACCGGCTTGTTATGCATTGGCCATATCACAGGATTCAAAATTCTGTTATAGCTGTTGTTCGGATGGTAATATTGCCGTATGGGATCTGCATAATCAAACTTTAGTCAGACATTTCGAAGGCCATACTGATGGTGCTTCATGTATCGATATTAGTCCCGATGGACAGAAATTGATTAGCGGTGGTCTAGATAGTACCGTTCGTACATGGGATCTGCGTGAAAATCGCCAATTAAATCAATATGATTTCAATTCACAAATATTTTCACTTGGTTATTGTCCAACCGGTGAATGGTTGGCTGTTGGGTATGTTGCATGTTTCATCAAATTTGAATTTATCTAATTTGTTATTATTCCCAACTATTAACTACAGAATGGAAAGTTCAAATGTTGAAGTATTAAATGTGAATAAAGCGGAAAAATATCAACTACATTTACATGAAAGTTGTGTATTATCGTTGAAATTTGCAAGCTGTGGAAAATGGTTCGTATCGACTGGCAAAGATAATTTGCTCAATGCATGGCGTACACCATATGGAGCTTCCATATTTCAGGTAACAAATAGAAAAAAAATTACAAAATTTTGGCCATAACAAAAACTAAAAAAAAAAATTTTTTTTTCTAGTCAAAAGAATCATCATCAGTATTGAGCTGTGACATATCTGCCGATAATAAATACATTGTAACTGGATCAGGAGATAAAAAAGCTTCCGTATATGAAGTAATCTATTGATTTGTACATCATCAATGTGTAAAATTAATTAATCAATCAACAACAACAGTATTTCTTACATGTTCCATTCTTCATGATCATCAAAAATGATTTTTAATGTGTGCCAATCGATTGTAAAATGAAAAGATCATAAAAATTTCATTAAATTTTTCATTTTCTAATTTTTCTGTATAATTTTAATTTGATTCCGGAAAAAAATTGCGAGAATAAAATATCAAACAAACAAACAAACAGAATGATGAATTTAATTAGAATTCTTATTTTGATTTTGGCGCTCCAATCGGCTATATTTGCAGTACGGGGAACCATGATGTGTAAATAGCCGAATCGAATAGAGGAGTAGCCAATTTTTTTAATGTTTACGACGAGTGTGTGTGTGTGTGTATGTTGTAAAGTAAACTTTGGTCGATTTGTTGGATGTTTTTTTTTATTATTTGTGATGATTGTGTGTTTATGTTGTTGTTCGGCTGGTTTTTTTTGCTGTTTTTTTTACATTTGAGTAAACAATATATTCGTATGATGATGATGATTCATTGACAGATTCTTCTTCCTCAATATTTTTTTTCCTTGTTGTGATTCTTGAGAATTTTCATTATAATCTTGTGATTTCCTGATTTTATCAACAATTTGACTTTTACAAATGATGATTGATCATAATCAAAATATCACCGATATCGAATGAAATGTTAGAATAAAAATTGACCATACATCATCATATTATCCACGTAGATATTTTGAATTTTCTTTCTTCATTATCAATTTGTTTAAACAAATATACATACACTGAAGGATACGCCTTTTTTTGTTCACTGCTATTGCTGATTGACATTGGCTTTCAAATAATTTAAATTTTCTGCAAATTCATCATTTGTCATTGAATTTTAATTTTTGTTCCGTGATTAAAAACCGGGTCATTAGAATTATGAAATTCATTGTCATCTAATAGATTGTTTTTTTTGTGTTATACCCGAATTGTTCCAAGTCGTATGTATTTATTTTGTTTTCGTTTTGTATTGTCAAAATTAATTCGATTCTTTTTTTCTGTATACAGAACACTTAAATCAACACAACCTTTTTTTCGTTGTTTTTTTCATTGTTTTATATATATTGATATATTTAATCATCGTTTGTTTTAATCGATATGGACAGATCTTAAAAACATCTTATTTATACACTGAATATTGATATTGATATATTGAATATTGTCGAAAATTCTGTTACATACCAATACAAATGAATCAAATACAAGTATTGCCTGAACATCCTGCTGAAACTATGGCTGATTATCATCATCAACAACAAGACCATCGTCAATCAATGGAAATGAATAACAATAATAATTCATCATTAACAACAACATTTAAAAATCGATTATCATCATCATCATCAATGTCTTCATTGAGTGATTCTTGTAATGAATCAGATAATTGTTGTAATGAAAATAATCATCATCATCAATTACATTCACAAAATAAACAATTACCACCATCACCATTATCATCAATGTCTGGTGTTTTATTGAAATGGACAAATTATCTTCATGGCTGGCAACAACGATACATTGTATTGGAAGATGGTGCACTTAGCTATTATAAATCTGAAGATGAAAAATCTTTTGGATGTCGTGGTGCCATCACCATTATCAAAGCAAACATTAAGGTTGTTTTTTTTATAATAACAAACAAAATGTTTTGATGTTTTTGTTTTTGTTTTTTAAATAATTCAGTTGCACGAAATCGATGAATGTCGTTTTGATATCGGTGTATCTGATTGTGTTTGGTATTTACGAGCACCATCAGTTGAAGAATGTCGACGTTGGGTGAATGCCATACAAGAACATAAAGGCTATTATCAATCGCTTGATAATAACATCGGTCCCTCATCATTGATTAATGGTGCAACATTAGTATCAGCTTCCGGTAGTTTACAGCCACCACCACCATTGTCATCGTCATCATCATCACCATCAACACAACCACTCCCACCACCCCCAACACCATCACAATCATCACAACCTCCATCAACAACATCAAGTGTTGTAGGTTATCCTATCAATGCCAGTGATATTGTTGGCCTTCGTCGTCATGAATCAGCATTATCATTAAGCTCGATTACATCTTGTCGTTCATATAAGGAACAATTATCTGAAATGGAAACATTCCGTACAATATTATATCAACAGATTAAAACATTACAACATTATTTTGATTCATCATTACAATCGACTAATATTGTCAATGAACACCTTAAAAGACATCGTCGTCATCAATCAATGAATGGTATGTGTGTTTTTATAACTGATGGAAAAAAAATGTGGAAAACAATTTTTTTTTGTAGATTTTCATCATATATAGATCGAATATATAGTCATCAGATCAGATTTATTATTATAAGTGTAACAGGTGATAACTATACTATATATATGTGTAACATGAGACTCGAAAAAATGTTTCTCTTTTTTTTTCATTTGTTTTGGCAAATCCAAACTCCCCACTGTCCATGTTTCATATCTAAGTAGAGATGATTATGATGATGATGATGATGATGAAAATTATAAAAAAACGCCATAATAATAATTTAGCAATCGAAGCATCACTAGTAACAAAATCAGAAAAAAAAGTTGAAATTGTGTTTATTATTATGATATGGATTGATATGTTTATGATAGCCATCAGTATACATTAACAGACACACAATTTACACACCCATCGAGCAGCTTTCTATACACACACACACGAGATAGACATTTGTTGCTAGGCTTTTTTTTCTTGTTTTCCATTGTGTATATAAATATATGCTTATGATGATGGTTTGTGATGCTTGCACTTTGTCTACTATTTGACAGATATCAATGATCGTATGATATTGTTAATTGATTTTAAAAAAATATGATATTCACATCAATTTTTTTCTGATTATTTTATTAGGTTTCAATTATTTGGATTGTAATAATGAACAAGTGATAAATTCAACAACAAACCGGAACGTGGTATCACAATTATCATCATCGTCGACATCGACATCGTCGAGTGGAATTAGTGGTGAGTTGGCCATTAGTTATTCATTCATAAGCACACCACACCCACTTTACGATCCAATGATTTTTTTTTCTCCTTTTTTTTGCTCTATTTTTTCATTCAAATTTTATCATTGTTGTCGTTCCTATTTTTACTTTGTGTGTGTGTGTACATGTGATACATTTAAAACTGATCGTTTACAGCAAGTTTTTTTTCTGCTGCTGCTCACATTTCGAATTTTTTTAAATTTCATTTAATTTAAATTTTTCTCTTTTTTTCCGTTTTCTTTTTGTTTTTGGGATTTTTATTTTGTTTTACGACGACTATTGGTCCCATTTTTTTCGAAAAAAAAATGCTCAAATGGTATAGCAGATCAATGCATTAATAAAAATATCTTAACCGCTGCTGAAAACAGTGATAGTCAATCAACAACAACAACAACAACAGCATCATCAATAAACATAAATTTATCATCATCATCATCATCAGCAGCAAAAAATCACGATAATATTTTTGTCGATTTTAAAAAGGAAGCATATACATTCAAAGCAACTACGGCTGGTATAATTACATCATTATCAAATTGTATTGATTTGATGACGCAACGTGAAGAACATTGGAAAAAACGATTAGAAAAAGAACAACAAAGACGTCGTAAGATTGAAGATCAATCAAAACGTTTAGGAGCTGAATTAGAAGAAACTCGTCGTGCATTAGCTGAATTACAATTTGAATTACAACGTAATACATTGCAGCCAAATAAAGACAAAGTGATATTGATTGGTGGACCAGATTATGAAGAAGGTCCACATAGTATGATAAAAGAGGAAGAATTTTTTGACGCTATTGATGCTGCATTAGATCGTTCGGATCAACAAGAAGAAGACATGAGACAGTTAAAACTGCAAACAATGAATTTGGATGAACCGTTGGATGTAATTCCACCGGAACGTTGTGATCATCCACTTTGGCCAGAAGTTGAACGTGTCACCATGGATCAATTATATTATGCACGATTAGAAGTTGAAGATACACCATCATCAGGCGGTGGTAATTGGGAATTGTTTGCACAAGATGGTGAGCTACGTCTTTATAAACGTGAGCTAGAAATCGATGGTCTTGTTTGTGATCCATTGAAAGCCGTACATACTGTTAAAGGTGTTACAGCACATGAAGTTTGTCATCAATTTTTCTCTCCCGATGTTCGTTTTGATTGGGAGAATACATTGGATTCAATGAAAGTGGTAGAAAATATTAATCCTAATACGCTTGTATTTCATCAAATTCATAAACGAGTTTGGCCAGCTGCACAACGTGATACAGTTTTCTGGTCACATATCCGTAAAATTGATGCCGATACTTTACGGACAAAATGTCATCCAAATTCTACTGGCAAAAAATTGCCATATAATGTTTGGATTGTATGCAATAATTCTGTTGATCGTCCGGATGTTGATGTAAGTTTTTATTATTGTTTGATTCTTTCTCTCAATCTGATTGACTTTTTTATTCATACATGAATAGCGTGGTGGATGTCTTCGAATGCGATTAGTTGTTTCAATGTGTTGTGAAATGACCATTGATCCACCAGTCGATGATGATGCTCAAATAACACGTGATCATTTACGTTGTCGAATCATTTATTGTTCAAAAAGTGAGTTTTTATTTATTTTACCATATTTCATGATTGATTACTAATTGATTTTTTCGATAAATAGTCAATCCAGGTGGATGGGCACCAGCTTCGGTTTTAAGAGCACTATATAAACGTGAATATCCAAAATTTATGAAACGTTTTTCGCAATATTGTATCGATGTTTATAAAGACAAACCAATTATGCTATGAGCACAATTTTTATCACTGTTTTTCAACAACAACAACAACATGAATCAAGAAAAAATTTGGCCGAAATTATTCTCTTTTTTCAAAATCAAACAAAAAAATCTTGTCAAATATTCATCAATTGCCGTCTAGCTCTTCTCTCTATATATATTAAACATTCTCATGATGATGATTTGATATATTTAAATTTTTTTTCTTTTGCCAAAGTTTTGCCCCCCAATTTTTCTTTGTGATTGAGTGCAAATAAAACCTGTCAGAATGTAATATGGTAAGTGTTTTATTTATGTTTTTTGTTTATCGGTTGCCGATTAACTTTGTTTTTTTTTCTTTTAAATTAGCTTTAAAATGATAAACATTTTTTCAACCGAACACAATACCCCTGATACACCATCATATAAAATATTCAGAGTCAAATATGATTGTCGTCTCTTTTTGTCTATTATCAGAAACTGTAAAGACAACAACAAAGTACAGAATGAAAAAGCTACAAATTTTTTTTGTTGTTGCAAGAAGCAAGTGGTTTATGAATTTCATAACCATATGAAAAAAAACAACACACACACACACACACACACATATATTTATCAATTAATGAAAAAATTTTTAATTGAATTTTTTTTAAATATCTGTTCACACCATTACCACCACCTGCATATATTGTGTTGATATATATGATGGTGGTGGTGGTGGTGGTCGATATATGTTTTTATTTTTCAATTTTTTTTTCTTTAAATTTTCAAATTTTTTTTTTTTTTAAACAGCATTTGTTTTCTCATTTGAAATTATTGAAACAAAATAAACATTTTAATCATTTTGTGTCATATACACTTTTGAATGTGACAAAATATCGTTTTTTTTCATAACATCGAATAATAATGGTGTGAATGGTGAATGAGAAATTATGTTTTGTTTTGTAAAACATCATCATCATCATCATCATCGATTGATGAATTGATAGATAATAAATCTTTTTTTGCTTTTCATCATCCTGATCATTATCGTATTTTGTTGTTGTCGTTGTCGATTTCCTAATACACACATATATATAAATGGTTTGTGTGTTGGCTGTTGGATCCAAAAAAATAAAATACGCCACCACACTGTTTTTTTTTTTTTTTTTTTTTTTTTGAAAAGTAATACGAAATTGTAGCTTTTTTAAAATTTATTATGCTCGATGATGATGATGATGAGCAAATAAAATGCCAAAATAAAAAAAAACAGATAAATTGAAACAAAAATTGCTCATAAAACATCACCCGACAAAGACAACAACGGCGACGACGACGACGACGTCATCCAAGCAGATGTACCAAAAAAAAAAAAATTTTTTCACTTTTTTTTTCCTTTTCTCCCTTTTCTTTCTCTTTTCATTTTCCTTGATTGATTTGAAAAAAAACATTTTTCATTTAATGAAATCATCAATCTATACCAGATGGTGAAAAGGATGGATTCGATTTTAATAATAATAATTTGTCACAATTATTATGGATTATTATGTAATGAGACAAGAAAAAAAAATTTTTTTTTTGAATTCATTGAATGGCTAAGAATAGTTTGGATAATGAGAGAAAAAAAAATCCCATCACTTCAATGTCATCATCAATTCTATGGATAGAAAAAAAAACGAAACAAAAATCACCAAATGTTGTCATTCATTGATTGACCATTCGATTATTCGATCATCATCACCAGTGAATGACAACAATGCTTCAATGAATGACGAAAAGAAAACAAAAAAAAAAAAAAATATTTGACCATAACCTTGTACTCGTTGAATGTAAAAATAAAGAAAAAGAAAAATTGAAAAATTTCTATTCATTTCAAAATGTTGTTGTCGTTGTTGTTGTTGTTTTTCAAAGAACAAACAAAGACAACAACAACAACAACAACAACGACGATGACGAAGAAGCATTGTTGTTAATCGGCATGAAAATGACCTGTTTGATGATGATGATGATGCGCGATCAATTGTTTATGGATAGAACCAAAATTATATTGATTTTTTTTCTTTGTTTTAGTCTCATCATCAAATGGATTTCAACAGAAAAATTTTCCAATTTAATTTCATTTTTCATTCGATACTTATTCGTTTCTACCTGTTGAATTTTTTTTTTGCTGTTCATGGCCAATAAAAAAAACTATTTGCCATTCCACACACACACACACATAGGTCATCATCATTGTTTCATTGTGTTTATTTGTTACATTTGTCCCGTTTTTTTATATTTCTCACTTTTAATATTTACACATGGATTTTTAAAAATTAAATGCACCAAATGTAAACATAAACACACACACATGACTGGATTTTTGGTTAAGCAATGAATAAGAAGAAAAAAAAGTGACACAGTGAGTAAAAAATGTGTTAATGTTTTTTTTTTGCTTTTTTTTTTTTTTGAATTGAATTTATTGTTGACAAACTGACAAAAATGAAATTAATTTGTGTGTGTGTGTGTTTTGAATTGGCCCGAAATGAATGGAAAAAATTTCTTGAAAAAAAAATCCTAAAAATTTACCCACTTTCATCAGATCAATTCTGATACCGAAAATTGATCACTTTCACTTATTGGTTTGATTTGTTTTCGATTGATTGTTGTTTCAATAATGGATCCAAATAAATAAAAAAAAGGAAATGAAGAAGAAATGAAAAACGCTAAAAGCACCAATTATTTCAATTATGTAGAAATGGTAAAAAAAAAAAAATCTGATGAGAGATCTAATGAGAGATTGGCAGAAATTATCATTGCAACAAAAAAAACATAACCGAAATCAAATTGTGTACAATTGTTTCACATAAATGCAAAACTGTCCGGATGGATATCGATGGACACGAAAACAACAACAACAACAACAGCAACAAATCCGACTAAATAATTATAACTATTGAGATGTACATGAAATGAAAAAGAGAAGCCAATCCCGATCAAACTTTCAACACTTGTACGTCCATTTTCATCATCATCATCATCATCATCATCACCACCACTAACATCAGTTGATCATTTTTACCGTTTTACCAAATAACCATTTACCGTTCACTTTTTTTTGTCCGATATCCGTAATTAACGACGAAAAAAAAAAAAAAAATTTTTTTTCGTTTCTGATATCTCTTTTTTCTCATTGAATCGTATTTTCGCGTGCGTGCATGTGTGTGTGTGTGTCTCTTTTTTTCGGTAACTCTGCTAACACTAACTGAACAACTGAACAATGTCCGATCTCCAGATCAGATCAATTCCCGTTACTCTATACATTAACGTTATTTTGTTTTCTTTTTTTCTACATTACATTACACTCTTTCAGAAATTTTTGGACATTATTTACCGCTATTCATCTCTTTTTTCTGTGTGTGTGTAGATAGATAACTTTTAGGACTATCCGATCCACAAATTCAAAAACCGAAATCTCACTGATGATGATGATCTTATGAACCGAAAAATAAACGACGACGACGACGACGACGTACATTGCAAATGTCGAATGTTTTTTTTTTGTTTTTTGCCTGTGGACATTTCTTTATTTCTTTCTTCGCATTTTAACGTTTAGAAATAAATGAAGAACATGAATAAAATGAATGAATGAATGAATGAAACAGTTACCTTCTGGCAGATATTTTTGACCGACCTCTTTTTTCAAATGTTGCTTTTTTTCGTTGTTTCTTCGTTTCGTTTCGTTTTTTTTTCGTTTCGTAGAGTTTGTTTTCAGCTAAAAGAAAAAAAAATGAAAAAAAACGGATTTTTTGAAGATACACTCCACACAATCAAATGAATAATAACTTGTAAGTAAATGACAGAATGAATGAGTGGCTGAAACAATTTTTCACTTGTTGAATGTCGATGATCATGATGGTGATGATGAACAAAAAAAAATGAAGAGATAGCAATGTTTATTTAACGGTATCCACAACAACAACCATCAACACCACCACCGCCACCACCACCACCACCACCACCTTAAGCAGCCATCATCTTTTTTGTAGAAAAAAAATCTCTTTTTCATCTTCATAGATTATTTTTTTTGTAGAAGAAAAAAAAAAAAAAAATTTTTTTTTTCGGGATCATTCGAAAAAAAATCGAAAATCATTCAAGATAGTGGTAGCCAAGTATTGAATAAACGGCTATCATCACATATTATTATTTTTTTTCTTCTTTCTTCTTCTTCTACATGTGTCCATCATCAAATAACAAATATCCATTTGATGGACGATGATGATGATCATGGCTATGACTTTGATGATGATGATGATGATGATGATGATGATGATGATGATGATGATGATGATGATGAGGATGATGACCACAAAAGAAAAAAATTTTATCATTTCATCAACATTTTTATTGTTAAATTAATCTTAATGTGTGATTCTTATTCGCTATATTATAATTTATCATCATCATCATAACCAAAATCACAATCAGTTTAATTCTTGAAATTCCATAAATTCTCAACATCATTACCGCCATCATTCACATTCCGTATTCAACCAAGAGATCATTGAATGATCATTGACTCAACAAATAAAGAAGGTCAATTCCCTGTCGTTTTGTGTGTGCGCGCTTGTGATTCATTAGCCAAATCAGATTAATCTCATTAAAAAATTTGTTTTCATTTTCAAATATGCTACATTGATCTTCTTCTTCTTCTTCTTCTTTTTGTGTGTGTTTTTCATCTTTTATCAAATTCATTCATAGTGAAAAATTATTATTGTCATCATTGTATTCAACTTTTTTAACTCTTCTATTTTCAAAATTTCACACACACACACACACACACACCTGTTGCATTTATTATTATCACTGTTGTTGTTGTGTATAAATGATCCAAGAAGAAAAAAAAAAAAATCTTGTAAATCTTTCCATTTTTGTCTTTATTATTATTATTATTGTTGTTGTTGTTGCTACCACTGCCAAATAATCGTTTTGAACAAAAAAAAAAAAAAAATAAATAAACAAAATATAGTCATCACATGTTTTATATATATATATGGAGAAAATCTTCAGTTATTTTATAAATAAAATAGCTCTAAGCCACTGTGTGTGTGTGTGTGTGAATGTTTGTTCCAAGAAGATCCATAATGCCATAACAAGCAACTACTTAATAATAATGACGATGATGATGATGAAGCTATTCACATAGATGATATTTGTATTTTTGAAGATGTGAATTTTTTTTTTACGAATATGTTTTAGTATTGCTTGTAGTCATCGTTGTGGTTGTTGTTTTTGGGAACTTTTGTTTTTGGACAACATAAAAAAAAACATTGCCGCTTGTGTTTCTAATAAGTGATTGTCCTCGACAATGCCATTGATCGACGACATCTTTATTCGGTTGCGCATTTTTTTTTTCATTCATTCATTCGGAAGCCATTGGCTTTCATTCATGATAATTTTTGTACACAAGATTATCTCTCTCTCTCTCTCTCTCTGTTTTTTTTTTCTGTACATCGATTGAATCCAATCAAATCATCATCATCATCAAAATTGAAGGTGTTTTTATTCTTTTGTTTTTGATGTGATCCATTACAACAACAACAACGATCAATGACTAACTTTGAAATTGTAAAATTTTTTTTTTCTTGCACCGAAAAGAAAAGGTCGAATTTAAAAAAAAAATTTCAAAAACCAATCATCATCGCCCATTATCAATGATAATCAATGTCATGATTATTGTTGAATAACGTTTATGAAAATAAAAAAAAAAAAAATATTCTTTTGTCAATGGACATTGAACCGTATTTTGATTAT